GGGTCCATCTGCATCCTTGTGACATCTTTATAAAAAAGGGTGAGTGTCAGTGAGTGTCTCCCTGAGTCTGTGAGCCGCTCTAGCAAACTGCTCCAGCCCGAGGAGGTCCAAGCACAGGCCACACCTGGACCTGCGAGTGGCATCTGCAGTGGGGGCTGCCATATGACCGAGCCCCCACCTGGGGGAGCGGAGGATGACTCCAGGCAGACAGTGCTGGAATTGAATTGAACTACAGGACACCCAGCTTGTGCCCGTACAGAGGTTCGCCTGGGGTCAGAAGTGCTGTGTGGCTGTGTGAGAGAAGAGGAAAACATTTCGTTTTTTTTTTCCCTGTATCCTTACAGTAATGAAAAAATACATCTGGTCTACAGTAGTCCAAATATACAGGTAAACTGAAAAACAAGGACATCAGTGACAGAAGAGCAGGCAAAACAAGATTGCAGAACTGAAAACCTTTGTGCATCATCAAGAGAGCAAAAGGCGACCGACAAGGGGAGAAAACATGGGCAGCGCACACGTCTGATGAGGGTGCGTACCCAGAATTCATAAAGAGCCCGCACAACCCTCGACAGACGAACAACCCAGTTAAAAAACAAATATACAAATGGACAATGGCCAGTGAAAGGTCAGCCTTGCTAGCGAAATAACAGAAAGACCATCTCATTTCTCAGCAAGGGCTCAGGTCAATGGAAGGAGCTCTCGCTAACAGGCTCCCCGCGGGGTTGTTTTCACAACATCTGGAGAGAGCTGAGCAGACAGAAAGGAAATGTAAATTCTTCTCTGTCACATTCCCTAGACCTATCACTTCACCGCCTTGAAGGGTTCCCAAGCCCCAGCTCCTGCCCGAAACCAAACCTCGAGGGAAGATTGTGGACAAGATCTTTGACATCCCACAGGCGCTTCTGTTTTCAGCTCACCGCTAAGAGAAAAGAGAAGCGGGGGATGCAGCAGGACCCAGCCAAGTGGGAGACAGCCATAAATCACCTTCCCCTTAAGTAAAAAGCCTGAGTAACTGGTCTCTGGGCCTAGCACACTCTCCCTCTTTCACTTGTGTGTTGGCCCTTTTTCCATCTGGAAAAAGTAAAATAAGCTTTTCCTTCTTTCTATCCTAATCCCTGTGTAAGAAATTTTTCTCCACTTATGCCATGAGCTCCTGGTAAGTTTGCCACTCTCATGGCCAGATCGTGTGTAAAAGCAGAATTCTGACCCAGTCTGCAGCAACCAGCCCGGGGAGCAGAACACAACCCTTGCGTCAGTTGGCCCCAAGCAGCCCAGGCCCGAGCAATGACCAAGAGCTTCCAACGTAGGACCAGCCAGAGGGAGCCAAACGCGTGCCGTGACCAATCCCGCAGGATGCCCTGCTACTGGGGAGCCGCCTCCAGCTCCCAGGCCAGCAGCTGCCACTCAGGACAGTGCTTTCTCCCACCAGACAGTTTCCCGCCCTCTGCCTGTCTCTCAATCTCTGCCAAACTCCAGTGACAGCGGCCGACCCCCTTGCTCCAGCGAGCATGAACTGCACAACCTCGCTGTACTCACTGGTGATCTCTGTTTGTTGCCACAGGGCAAAAGATTTGAATAGACGGTTTTCCCAAAGAGAAGTACAAACGACCAACCAGCACATTAAAAGATGCTCAACTTCACTGTGCATTAATAAAATGCAAATCAAAACCATAAGATAGTACTTCACACCCACTGGGTTGCCTATTAAAAAAGAGAGAAAAAAATAACAAGTGTTGTGAGGATGTGGAGAAACTGGATACCTCATACATCACAAGAGGTAAAGTAAAATTAGCCACCGTGGAAAACAGTACGCAGTCCCTCAAAAAGTTGATCATAGAATTACCATGTGATCCAGCTATTCCACCTTGGAACATACCTGAAGGAACTGAAAACAGGCATCCAAACACTTGTTCACAAATGTTCATAGCAGCCTTAGTCATAACAGATAAAAGGTGAAAACAGCCCAAATGCCCATCAATGGATGGATGGATAACCAAATTGTGGTCTATCCACACCATGACCATTGTTCAGCCACGAACAGGAGTGAAGCACCGATTCATGCTATAGCACGGAAGAGCCCTGAAGACACTATGCTACGTAAAAGAAGTTGGACACAAAAGGTCACATAATTTATGACGGCTTTTATGTAAAATGTCCACCATAGGCAAACCTACAGACCAAAAAGGAGATCAGTGGTTGCCAGGGGATGAGAGAGAGGGAATGGGAAGCAATTGCTTATTAGGTACAGGGTGGCTTTTCCAGAGAGACGAAAACATTTCAGAATCAGAGGTGACAGCTGCGCAACATTGTGAGTGCACTAATACCACCGAATTGTTCACTACAAAACGGTTTCTGCATGTCACTTGAATTTCACCTCGATTAAAAACAAGCCATGGTGATTTTCTTCAGTCATAAGAGCCCCCATCAGAAAAGTTTCACAGGACAAAAGTGCCAGCATGGGGTGGTAGCGTTTGGGGAGTACTTAATTCAGTAACAAGTCAGCCCAGAGAGGAAGGTTCTGGACAAGCTTCTGGAAGTTCTGGGTCCAAGGACACGGCCATTAGTCCTGGGAACCCCCTTGGCAACAGTGTCCCACCTGTATGGGCCCACTGGAGTCCCCAAGTTGGACTTTACCCCAGAGGTCCTGGATCCCCCTCAGACCTCCTGAGCAGGAATCTCGGGAGGGTGGTGCCAGGAAATCTAGATTCATGACAAGTGTCAGAGGCCGTGCCAACACAGCCTCTAGGAGGACAGGGAGGTCCTCCACCAGACAACCTGAGGCCTGCGGCCCCACAGCCAGCAGCGCTGGCCACGCTCTCAGCAGTGGTACTACTGGCACTCTGGCTGGGCTGTCCTTCCCTGGGGCAGGGGGCTGTCCTGTGCATTGCAGGATGTCTCTACTCACTAGATGCCAGAAGCATCCCCATTCCCTGCCTCAGTTGTGACAGAAACCCCAAAGTTCCCCTGGGGTAAACACCATCCCCACTGGGGACCACGCCCCAGTCCACCAGCACGCTGGCATCCTACCTGCACGAGAAAAGGATGCAGTCCGTGGCACTGGCCCCCCGGCACGTACAGTTGCGCAAACACGACTGCGTGAGTAGCAGTCTTGCCCATATTGCCGACCCAAAATTTGGCAGCTTCGAAATCAGGGGAATGTATGATGAATTCCTGCACAACGGAAAAAATGCTAAAGTTATAATTAGCAACTGAAACGCATGTAGAATTATTTTCCTTTTTGATAGATTCAATTTTCTACATTCAAGATCTTTGAGGCGAGAGTCCAAATTGATGCTATTTATACATTTCATTTCCTGTATGGCACAGGTAGGCCATATTTTTTAAACAGAGCACATTTCTGGATCTTATGACTTAAAGAAGACTCTTCCTATGGAAAATGATAACAAATGTTTCAAACAACAAAATAGGCGCAAAGTACTTTGTAGGCTGGTAGACACCCCAGGTCACGGTCGTCGTCACGCAACATCTGCTAAGAGGCCATCCCAACCACACTCTTTAAGCAGAATCCTCTGCCCTGCTTAACACCGTGCCATGTCCCCTGCTGACTTCTAACTCAGGACACGTCGTTGTTCTTTTGCTCTGTCTTCATCTTCATGCTCCACGACTAAGGGCTATACCCCAAACGCTCCCAGAGCAAGGTGACTCAGAAAGTCAGAAGGAACGCAGGAACTCACGGATGAGCGGTGGCCTACAGCGTTCAGCTTTCAGCTAGAAGGGGCGAGGACAGGTACCCCAGGACGCAACGGGTGCTCATCGAATGGTTGTCTTGCAGATATTGAGAAGAAAGCCGGAAGAGAAAGCCAGGCCGGGGGAGGGTGAGCTGCCAGCTGCACCCTCTGTTCTCTCAGGGACCACCGGCTCTTCACCTACTAGGGTGGGGGGCGTTCCAGCCTTGGCCAGACCTCCCCACCTGTCTTTAGCACATGGCAGCTCTGATGCCCCCACCTGCTCCCCGTCCTCTGCAGGTGCAGGTACAGAGTGCCAGGCCAGCCCCCACGGCCCTTTGCTATCCCAGCCTATCCCCTGCACCCTCATTCCAGCCCCCTCCATGGATGGCACCCGGCATACCCAACTTCCCCCAGCGCGTGCCTGTCTCCCTCTAGCCTGCAACTTCACAACGGCAGAGACTTGTCTGCTGTGCCCACCGCCTCCTGCCCAGCCTCAGAAAGCTGTGTCTAGCACACAGCAAACGTGTGTCATCTAGATGAATGCAGCGCCAGCAGCCCTGCACCAGGCTCCCAGGGGCCTCATCTTGACAGATCTGATGTCACGCTCCCATCTCCACTTCACCCAGACACCAGGAAGAAGCAGGCAGAGAAGGCAACTGCTCCTCAGATGTCAAGCTGCACCCAAGGCCACCTGGGCCCCATCCTTCACCTGCCAGGGAAAATGGGCCTCGCCCCCCTTGGCACTGCAGGGTGGAAAGGACAGTATTGGAGAAGGGGCTGGGGGTCAGAAAGACCTGGGTTCAGATAAAGATGCTGCATGGCTCAAAAAATAAACAAAAGCCCAAGAGGTGTCCAGCTTTCTCTCCATCCCACTCTGACACGGAAGCCCTTCCGGAGACCCCACCATGGCAGCCTGCGTCACACTACATGGGGATCCCCTCTTACTGTCCCCCACCCCACCTGGGGGCTCTGTAGTCTATTCCTGTGTCCTTCCATGCAGCACCCCGGCACAGAGCCCGCACCCACCCGTGCTTGTGAGTAAACAGATGAACGAATGAAAGAACGAACGATGAGGAAATGCACAGGCGCAGAGCTTCACTTTCTGCCGCAGAGCCCTTCCACCACCAGCGGGGAGAGAGGTGAAGGGCTCCCAAAATGCCAGGCAGTGAGGAGAGACAGGCAGATGGACACAGCCCTCAGGGACAAGTGAGGGGACAGGGGCACAGCGGGAAGGGGAGACGAGTCCTCCTCATCCTCTCCCCCGCCCCAGGCCCCACCATAGCACTGGACACCCCCAGACATCACGAGCCCGTGTGTGGCCAGCCACCCCCTACCACCCTGGAAGTCCCCTGGAGAGCAAGGCCCAGCCTGCAAGTTCCCAGCCCCTCCCCGCAGACAGCAGCACCCGCGTGGACAGTGCTCAGTGGACACATCAGACAGTGGCCACAGTGCAGATGCCACAGAGAGGTCAAGAAGACGGCAAGGACCAGAGGAGCCAGACCAGGCAGGCAGAAACAGAGCCCGGCCCAGGTAGATGGGCAGCTGCGGAGGGAGGAGCGCCGGGCAAAGTCCCCACACCGCTCACTGTGCAGGGTATGGCAGTCGGCACTGCTTGCTAATCCCATACCACAGGCCGCCTGGCAAACCTCTCCCTGCACTCAAACCGCACACAAACGCAAATCATGATGAATTCTCCTGTAAAGGTCACAGTGGGCACAAGTTCTGCCTCTCAATCCCGTATCTCCTGAGCTCCCACTTTCCAGCATGACAAATCCCAGCGTGTTTTATAAGTACACATACAACGACAGGCTCTTTGGTTTAATTATGCTTTTGTTCATGGCAATTTTATTTGCACTCACGACGTTTCGTATGTTCTAAACCCAGAGACAAGAGTAAGGGAACACCTACCTCTGTGACAGGGTTGTACCTGGGTTAATTATGGGAGGGGAACACCTACCTCTGTGGCAGGATCGTAGTGAGCGGTCGTCCGAATGGCCTTGGTATTGCTCCCGTGGCTTACTTCGGTCAGGGCAAAACATCCAAAAATCTGCATGTTGAAACACAAAACAACGTAAAGCAAGAAAAGCTCCCTGAGCACATTCCTAGAGGGACCCGCCCCCATCTTCTTTCCTTTAAGGACTAAACTGTGGATCAAAGCCCCAAATCCCCATTCGCCCCACTAGTGACATGACTGGTGACTCTGTCACACTGCCCCACACGTGCCCAGGCAGAGAGGATGGCAGCCAAACCATGCTGGCACAACCTCTCTGAGCAGCACGGCAGCAAGAGCTGCTCTGTCAGGAGGAGGAAGAGGAAGCCTTCGGCATCTGCTCACACAGTGCCAGGACGCAGGGCACCGCATTTGGTGAAGAATCGTGTTAGCGATTTGGTGAGCAGCCTCAGAACACCGTAAACAAGGAAAGCACAACACCCCCGGGGACCCTCTCCTACCATCTTCCCTTTTCACACATCTTCACAGGGAACAGGTGGGAGAACTGGGCTCACGGCTCACATGAACCTGAACTTACCTCCATATTGAACGCCTTCTGAATGTATTCGAAATGTCTTTCAGAACCGGAGTTGTAAATTGCTGATCCAAAAACCTGAAAACATAACATCATCATATTGATGTGAACAGACGGCAGTTAAGAAAAGTCCTGCCATTCTGGAAGTTAACAAGTGACAGTGCATTTAACACACCGCCTCCGCCCCAGCCCCATATCAGTTCTTTGCACCACATCCTTCCCCAGAGGAGGAGAATGAAGCTCCTAGGGGTCAGCCAAAAGCACCGACACCAGGCCCAGTGCTTCCCCAATACTCGGCTGCCCTGGGGCCCTGGGTTCATATTATTAACAAGGCCTGAGAACTGCAGGGGGACATGAAACTCAGGGGGCAGGGTGGTAAGGGAGGGAGTGCAGGTGTATGGAGCAGGGGGTCACCAGCCCGCCACACAGTCCAGGCACAGATGGGGCAGTGCCGCCTTCCCAGGTTCATCTCTACCAGCATGCTGGAAAGGAAGAAAAGCACAGGTCCATTTGTCTTTTTTTTATATATGTATAAAGCAAAAAAAAGTTCCAAAGCTCTTCTTCTTATGGGATTTTAAGCTTCATAACACTGTATTTTATTCAAGGACTTAATGTGTACAAATTTGCAAATACAGCTGAAAAAATGGAGTTTCTTTGACTCCCGCGTGGCTCCAGGACAGAGGTCCCTCACGCTCAGCAAAGTGTGAACGCGCACTTTCCCTCACTCTCCGCGTGCTCACCATGGTGTGGAGGAAGTATTTGGCAGCCAGGGACCAGTCATACATGCCCAGGCAGTGAAGGAACGCCAGCACTTTCAGAGGGCTCCTAAACACGTCTTCCACGCTGAGGAAGTCGTACTCGAAGATCCGCCTGCAGCGAAGGAAGTTCAGCTTGCGGTACTTCTCCAAGGACAGATGGGCGCCATGGGAACGGGCAAAGAGAGGATCGCTCTCCAAAGCTGAGAAGACGGTTTTCTGAAAACACAGGAGACAGGGATGGCTTATTCGGAGGCAAAGATGGAATCTCGATACATCTTTACTTACACAGTTTTTCTCAAGGCCAGGGCTCCATGGGACACAGTCTGACCCAGAGACACTCAAACAGGGACAATTCCCCTACTCCTCATTGATGCCCTGAGCCCATCCTGGCGAGCAGAGTAGAAAGGCCAGCCTCACCCCACAGAGGAGGGGCTTTCAGAGCCATAAACCCAATTTTGCCAAGGAACTAGTCGCTAACTAGATTCCACTGGGGACCACAAGACAAGCACCACAAAGCACACCTTAAACCGGAGCATGTCCTCGCCTTCCAGGAACAGTGACAGCTCCTTCCAGCTGAAGGAGGCCCTTGCTCGGTAGGCGTGGAGGGGTCCTTTGGGGAAATCTGGAAACAGAGCATCAGAGCTTCCTTCCAAAGTGGGCACCATTGCTTATCGCCAACCTGCACAAAATATACAGCCTAAATCAACATGTTCCAGTCTACGGATCCATACCACCCAAGAACAGTGAAACCCACCGCATTGCAAGTAAGAGAAAAACAAACTGTAATTCCAACAGGACAGCAAAAGAGAAACACTGCAGCACCCATGTTCCCAAAAGAGAAGGCAAGAGGAACTCTCCTGACTTTACCCCTAAATGAAGGACAACAAAGAGACAGAAGAGCGACAGCAGCAGCCTGTGGCCAGCGTTGCAATACATCGAGGTGAATGGGCAGGGGCACTACCAGGCTGCTGGGAGAAGAGCCCAGAGTTTTGTTGGAGGTTTCGTTTTCTGTTGCCAGAGCCATGCCTGAGAACATGTCAACTGCTGGGGGCACCCAGGATGCGTGGACACCCCCACCCCCAGGCTTGGCAAACCTGGGGCCCAGGAAGTGCTCCCTCTGGAATCCAGCCAATGCTGGCCAGTCCACTCCAGCCACATATGACAGTACCTAACGTCCCCACCCACCCCGGCCCACCTGGACACAGGATGTCCAGCCCGGAGCCAGTGACTACAGGTTTTTATCTTGTTCTCTTCTCGACATACAGGCATCCTGGCTTCCCACTAACAGAGCAGACATTCCGAAACCCAGCTCTCTTTACCAAAGATTCAAGAACAATTCCACTGTTCTGGAACTTTCTGTAGAGACTGGGTCCTTTTCCAAGTGCCTTGGCTAATCAAGGCATTGGACAGGAGTGGCTTGTGAACCCAGACCTAGGGGAACATGGGTGTGAACCCCCCAGCTTAACTCTTTAAGGCCCAGGAGAACTTTTAAATTCTTTCACTAGAATGTTGAAACAGTCTAGGATGTTGGACGGAGTGTGACTGGTCAACACTGCTGGCAATGCTTTTCTTTGTGGCGGGAGATAGGGGCTGCATGTCTGAGCACATGCCTGGAGCCCAGAGACCCTGCCCCTACAGAGCACATCTTATTTAACCCTCCAGTGACTATGAAGCAAGTCTTATCATCCCCACTGAAAGAAAACTGAAGCTCAGAGAGGCTAAACATCTTTCCAGAAGCCCCTCTGCTGAGAAGTGGGGAGAAAGGTTCTAGCCCAGCAAAGGCTGACCCCAAAGTCATGCCGTTCAAGCACCACCTTCAGATACAGGAAAAGGCAGCACAAACTAAACCTAAAGCATGCAGAAGGAAGAAAATAAAAGATTAGAGTAAAAATGAAATAGAATAGAGAAAAATAGAGAAAAATCAATGAAAATAAAAGTTGGTTTTTTGCAAAGACTGGCAAAATTGGCAAATTTTTAGCTAGATTAACCAAATAAAAAAGAGAAAAAAACACAAATTTCTAAATAGGAATCAAAGATAGGATATTTCCACTGACTTTACAGAAATAAAAAGGATTATAAGGGAATATTATGAACCACAGTATGCCAACAATTAGATGAAATGGGCAAATTCCTACAAAGTCTACCAAAACTGACTTATGAGAAATAGAAAATCTGAACAGACCCATGTTGACTAAAGAGATTCAATTAGCTATCAATATTTAATATTTAACTGCCAACAAAGAAAAACCAGAGGGTTTCAACTGTGAATTTTGCCAAACAGTTAAAGAAGATTACCACTTAATTCAAAGTCTTCCAGAAAATAGAAAATATTTCCCAACTCATTGTTTGAGGCCAGTATTACCTTGACACCAAAACCAGCCAAAGACATCACAAGAAAACTACAGACTAACATCCCTCGTGATAGAGATGCAAAAATCCTCAACGACATTTTGCAAATTGAATGCAGTAACATGTAAAAAAGATTGGTTCAACATATGAAAATCAGTTGATACACCATACCAACAGAAAAAAGGCACAAAAAATACTTATACGTGATCATGTCAATAGATGCGGAAAAGACATTTGACAAAGTCCAACACTCTGTTGTGATAAAAACTCTTGACAAACCAGGAATAGAGGGGAAGGTCGTCACCCTGATAAAGGGCATCTATAAAAACCCACAGCTATCGTCACACTTAAGTGTGAGAGGCTGAATATCTTTTCCCTAAAAACTAATAAATTAATTGAGTTTGCATGGTAATGATCCATATACAAAACTCAACTGTATTTCTATACACTAGCAGTGAACAATTCAAAAATGAAATGAGAAAAACAATTCCATTGACAACAGTATCAAAAAGTAAAATATTTAGAAATAAATTCAACAAAAGAAATGTAAAACTTATACTCTAAAAACTAAAAAAAAAGGCCGGGCATGGTGGTTCATGCCTGTAATCCTAGCACTCTGGGAGGCCAAGGCGGGTGGATAGTTTGAGCTCAGGAGTTTGAGACCAGCCTGAGCAAGAGTGAGACCCCGCCTCTACTAAAAAAATAGAAAGAAATTAGTTGGACAACTAAAAATATATATATATGAAAATTGGCCAGGCATGGTGGCACATGCCTATAGTCCCAGCTACTCAGGAGGCTGAGGCAGCAGGATCACCTGAGCCCAGGAGTTTGAGGTTGCTGTGAGCTAGGCTGACGCCATGGCACCCTAGCCCAGGCAACAGAGTAAGGCTTTGCCTCAAAAAAAAAAAAAAAAATTAAAAAAAAATTAAAGACCTATATATGTGAAAAGACATCCATATTCATGGATCAGAAAACTTAACATTATTAAAATAGCAATACTCTCCAATTGATCCATAGATTCAATGTAATCCCAATAAAAAATCCAGCTGGCTTTTTGCAGAAAGTGCAAAGTTGATCCTAAACTTTACATGGAAATGTAAGGGGCCCAGAAAAGACAAAACAATCTTGAAAAGGAACAAAGTTGGAAGAATCATACGTCCTGATTTCAAAACTCACTACAATGTTATCATAATCAAGACATCGTGGTACTGGCATTAAGACAGACACATTCAGGTCGACGGACTAGAAATCAGCCCTTATGTGTACGGTCAGTTGCTTTTTGATAAGGGTGCAAGATAATTCAATGGAGAAAGAACGGCATTCTCAACAAATGGTGTTGGGACAACTGGACATCCATGTGCAGACAAATGAGGTTGAACTACTTCCACGCACATATGCAAAAATTAACTCAAAATGGCTACAGACCTAATTGTAAGAGCTAAAACTATAAAACTCTTACATGATTAAATCTTTGTAATCTTAGGTTAAGCAAAGCCTTCTTAGATATGATATCAAAAGCACAAACAACAAAAGAAAAAGAAGATAAATTAGACTGCATCAAAATTAAAATCTTTTGCTGCAAAGGACACCATCAAGAACCTTAAAACTCAATAATGAAAAGACGAGCCAATGAAAAAATGGACAAAGGGTTCAAATAGACATTTCTCCAAAGACATAAAATGGCCAATAAACATACAAAAAGATGTTTGACATCATTAGGCACCAGGGAAATGCAAATCAACAACATAATGAGATATCATTTCACAGCCACTAGAATAGCCAATTCGGTAAATAAATAAATAACAAGCATTGATGAAGATGTGGAGAAATCAGATCCTCCTGCATTTCTGGTGGGAATGTAAAATGATGCAGCCAATTTGGGGAACAGTTTGGCAAATGGTTAAACATAGAGTTACCATATAACCCAGCAGTTCCACTCCCAGGTATGTACTGAAGAGAACTGAAAACATGTCCATACAAAAACTTGTACTTGAATATCTATAGCAGCAATGTTCATAATAGCCAAAAAGTGGAAATAACCCAAATGTCCATCAGCAGATGAATGGGTAAACAAAATGTAGCAGAGCCATGCAATGGAATATTATTCAGTCATAAAGAGGAATGAGGTACTGACACATCCTACAACATGGATGAACCTTGAAAACATGCTGAAAGAAGTCAGACACAAAATATCACATGTTGCGTGATTCCAACTACATGAAATGTCCAGAATAGGCAAATATATAGAGACACAAAATAGATTAGTAGCCCTCAGGAGCTTGGGAGGCAGAAGGAAATAAGGAGCAACTCCTAACGGGTCCAGGGTGTATTTTTGGGCTGATGAAAATGTTCTGGAATTACACAGTGGTAATGGTTGCACAATGCTGTGAATATACAAAAAATTCACTGACTGTACAATTTAGATGGGTGATTGTATGGTATGTGAATTACATCTCAATAAAGCAGCTTAAAAAGAGTAAGGCACATCTCTCCATAGAGACCAAGTGCTCAAAAATGCTAGCTGTAACTCAGAAGGCTGAGGTGGGAGGATCACTCGAGGCCAAGCCTGGAGTTCAAGACCAGCCTGGGAGATTCAGTGAGATCCTGACTCAAAAACAAACAAACAAACGAAAAGCTATAAAATCCAAGGGAAACTCTGTATCTTTCTTTCTGGACTTCCCCGCACACGGCCCCTCCCTGGTCTAGAACACTGCACTCCTCCTCTTCAGTCTCCTAGTGACGCTCAGCCTCAGCCACACTCTGGGCATCATTTCATGCACTTAAATCGTCCTCAGTGTGTGGAGAGCTCCCGAATCCACACCTCCAGCTCAGTGCTCATTTGGCAGTTGACTGGATACCCCTCCTCTCTCATATCCTGGAGGTTCCCACACTCTGAATGCTCAGCACTGAACTCACCCTCTCCCATGACCCAGCCTCTCCCCCAGAGCCCCAGTCCACACTGCCAGCGGCCCAAGGGCTACTTAAGCTATAAACCCCGAATGTCATCCTAGAACTCCCCTCCCCTTGTGCCCTATAACAAAATCAATTACCAAGACCTCTACCACACCTCTTTAATGCCTACAGAATCCTTTCCTTTCTTTCCACCCCTATTAAACCTATCATAATAATCTCCAGTTGAGCAATACTGCGGGCAGGTGAATGTAGTGAGCAGCTACACCATCTCGAGGGTGCCTAGCAAGCCCAGGTACTATCAGTATTCTCATTTTCCAGGTGAGGAAACTGGAGCTTCTTAGCGTGAAGTAAATTGATCAAGGTCATACAACTATTATCTGGCATAGCTGGCTCCAAATCCCGTGATCCCAACCAGCGTAAGTCCCCTATGGCCCCATGCCACTGGTGGTCACCAACCTTATTGTGTTACAGACAAGGATTGTGAAGCCAGACTGCCCGGGTTCAAATTCCACTATAGCTCATTAGTTGGGAGACCTTAGCAAGCAAGGTCTCTGTGCCTCCGGGGAGATAATGTGGTGACGCTTCACTGGTGCACGCGGTCTGCTATCTACACTGCTGTCACCCACATAAGGCACTTGAACAGTTAATGGCACGGACGTGGGGCCTTCGCTATCCTTGTTCTGCCAACAGTTGCCTCCAGTCTTTCTCCTTATGCAGTGCAAGAGACCATTCTAGAATGCCAAGCTGATCGTGCTCCCTTTCGTAATCTCAGTGGACAACCTCCAAATCCTCCAAACGCCTCCTCAATGGCCGCTGGTCCACAGTGTCCTTACTCAGCAATCCTGGGATCCCCGTGCCCCGGGTCTTTGTACTGAAGTGGAATTCTTAGAAATTCCACTACCAGGCTTTTTTTTCCTTGCGATCCTTACCTGGGCCCCCTCCTCACCTACGACCTTAAATCACCTGTAGCCTGTAGCAATTAGTATACCAAGCTGTAAAAATAGCTTAGGACCCTGCCTCACTAAAGTTAACCCTGTTGTAGCCGTGCCCCTCCTCCTTAAGCAGAATGTATAAAAGACTGCAATGCTCTTTGTCTGGTGCTCAGAATTTGGGAAGAGCAAATTCCCCTCTGAGCCTTGCCAGCCGGCACATAAAACCTGTATTGCCAAAACCTGTGTGTGTGTCTCTCGGTCTATTCTCGGTCAGCCCTGCCGTAACAGTACCTGGGGTGGCCCCCGCAGGCCCCCCCGCCAGGCCTTTGCACCTGCGGGCTCCCCCCATCCCGAATTTCCCCCTACCCCGGGCCTTTGCACCTGCAGGCCCCCCTCGCCTGGGAGCTCCCTCAGGCCCCACCCTCGGGCTCGCCAGCCCCCGAGCCCCGCACCGTCTAGCGCACACGGCAGAGCGCAGTGGAAGTCTGTCGGGCCACAACCGCTTTCCGCAGAGCGAGGACCAGCCGACTGCCGTGCCGCTAGGCCTGCGTCCGCTCTGTGGGCGAGGCCGGACCTGGCCGCCCTGACGTCATCGCGCCGCGCCGCCTTGTCGCTTGGGAAACGCGGCGGCGGCCGCCGGAGGTTTGGCCGGCTGGCGAGGAAGCTGGACCTGGGCGCTCCGTCCGCCCTCCGCCTCCCGCCGCAGGCCTGGCTGAGTGACTCGGGCAAGTCGCTGCCGCTCCGGGCGCTTGTAGCCCTGAGATGCGGGTTACACTGGTCTCTGAGTGTGCCCGGGGACCTTCCCGCCTTAGAAGCCCTCGGAGCTCTGTTCAGTGCGCTCCGGAGCAGCGGAAATAGAACTCCTGGCTGGGGCCTGGGCATCTCCAAGCTGGTGCACGTGCCCAGGTGCGCGCTGAAATCCGAGCCCCGGTCGCCCATATGGCCAACTCAGTAGCCCGCCCTTTACTGCCCGCCCTTTACCCCCCTCGCTCCTGCGTCCTGAGGTTGGCTCCACTTTGACAACCTGCACCCTGACCCTTGTCTCAAGGGCTGTCTGGGGATCCAAACTGTTAATAACACACCCCGTCTGAAACCCACAGAGATGGAATCAACCAGACTTAGCAATTTGCCATATAAAGAACAAGGAAGAAGGAGAAGTCCCAAGGTTTCCATTTGAAGGGAACTAAAAGAAGATGGGCAGCACAGTTACTGGGAAGAGAAAGATAAGTTCAGTTTCAGAGATGTGTCACGTTTAGGATGTGGGTAGGACGTCTGGATGCGGGTGCTAAGCTGACGGGTGGAAATCTCTCTACTCCTGTTCTACTTTGAAACAGCTTCTCCTTAATTCCATGAAAAGGGTTTTCTTCACAGTTATCACTCTTATTCAAAACAGACTTAAAATTGTGGGTTATCAGTTTGGAAAGCAGAAAGAAGGGACTGAATGACAACCAGGTGCCCTGCTAAGCAGTCAGACCAGATCCCCAGTCCAGGCCAGCGTTTCTAGCCTGGGGTCTGGGGCTTTGTTGGTTGCAGGTGGTCCTGAGTCCACAGGAGCCTCCAGGATTGCCTGCAGACCAAATCAATTGGGGTCTAATAAGAATACACGCTACTGTTGAGAGTAATACCCATTCGGTGCAGAATTCACACCTTTGGGTCACAATTTCTGCCAAAATTACAACTACTAGTAAGTTAGGTTCACATGTTTCATTGACATTAGAAAAACATCTTTCGGCCAGGCAAGGTGGCTCATGCCTATCATCCTAGCACTCTGGGAGGCCAAGGCGGGTGGATAGTTTGAGCTCAGGAGTTCGAGACCAGCCTGAGCAAGAGTGAGACCCCATCTCTACTAAAAATAGAAAGAAATTAGCTGAACAACTAAAAATGTATACAGAAAAAATTAGCTGGGCATGGTGGCGCATGCCTGTAGTCCCAGCTACTCGGGAGGCTGAGGCAGTAGGATCGCTTGAGCCCGGGATTTTGAGGTTGCTGTGAGCTAGGCTGATGCCACAACACTCTAGCCCGGGCAACAGAGTGAGACTCTGTCTCAAAAAAGAAAAAAAGAAAGAAAAAGAAAAACATCTTTCTACTGGGAAATCATTTGGGTTTATTGAAGGAGTGAGGGAGAGAGAAGCTGTTTCTAGGCAGACACTGGAGGGCAGGTTAAAGGAGAAGACCGTGAAGCAAGTGGTGGGCCAGTCCAGGTGAGAGGTGAGCTGGCCTGAGATAAGGCTAAGGTGGAGTTGGAGGATGGGGAGGGAGCTGAGTGACTTTCTGTCAGTTCTATGTAAGTTAGGGTTTCATCACAACATGGCATGGAGGAAACATACAAAGCACATGTTTCCAGCCTTGGGGATGTTCTCGGACTCCCCTCCCTTCTCCCTCTCTTTTTCCACCCTCCTTTTCTCACATTTGTCTGCCTCCTGACTTGTCAGGGCTGGCTCATGGCAAGTGTCAGTCTCATCACTTCACTCTCTCCGTTCAGTTTCCTGAATTGGTGACTAGGTTTAAGACTGTTGTTCCCAGCTCTGACCATGGCTTTATCCCAGGACTACCCCTGCTCATTTGCTTGTCCATCCTGCGGCACCTCTCCCCAGCTGTGGTTCCCTCCTAGGCTTTAGGACACTGGTGGACCTGAGAATGTCATTGGACACCTCTATGTGCAATCAGGTGGACACTGAGATACACAGGATTGTGGTGAGGTTGGAAGAGAGGATGGGGTCGTGCTCCTGTAAATTAAAATAAAATTCTAAGCTTCCCACTGACTAGATGCACCCCCTCTTGTCCAAGGGGACCCCAGAGAAGCCTTAAAACTGAGTTCCCAGCCATGACAGGCTGAGAGGTCAGACACTCATCCCTTGCTAATGGCCATGATGCTTTTTTTCCTTAGGGCCAGACCAGCATTCTTTCCTGATAAAAGACCACCAGCTGCGAAGTGGTTTTAAACAATCTCTGGAGCAGGGCAGACAGGGGGCTGTTTTTTCACACAGAGGGGGCTGTTTCTGAACATGGACCCCATGAAAGGGCAGAAAGCTCGTTGCACAGGTACATGTTTCTCTTTTCATAAACATTCATGACTCCTCCTACAGCTTGTTACATGTGTATATTTGGCCACCCTGCTCGGTAGACATTCCTCTTCCCATTGTTCCTGCCTCAAAGCACATGCCCCTGGCTTGTGGCTGGGGTCCCTGCTTTCCAGCCTGCCAGAATGGCCACCCCAGGTGCAACCTTTTATGAGAAATAAAGCTCTCTTTTCCACATTATGAACTTCGTTGTTTCTTCAGGTAATATCTACTCAGGGTTGTATTGCTGGGACCTGGGTGGATGGAAATGCCACTGAAACTGGCATAGAAGGAGCAACTTTGGGAACAAGAAGAGGAGTTTAGTTTCGTTAGCTATCTCCTGGCAAACTGCGCTTTTGGAACACCAGTGTGAGCTGCGGGGGAAGAGGGGGCTCTTAGGGTAGCTCAGAGACAGTAATCCCCAGGAACTCTGCCATTGGTCCCCACTCACCCCCTCTTTCGCTCATTTTGACGTCTGTCCCATTTCCTTCTGGCACACCCTTTGCCTGCTCCCTGTACATTTTTAGTCATTTGCTCAACTGGCCATCATTGGCAACCGCAATTATTTGAATGCATTGTTAAAACTAAAGTTGCCTCCCACCCTCTGGCCATTTGTCTCCCTTTGTCCCCTCCCTCATCTCTCTCCCACCACCACCTCCCTTGCTGATTTAGAATTCATGGAAGGGTGTCTGGGAAGGAGTCACTGGTGCACTGGACTGGGAATGGCCCCATCACAGCTCAGCCACCTCCTTCCCCCCAGTGAAATCACGTTAAGTAGTAGGCAGTGAGAATGGCATTAGAGAAGAGTTATGGAATGTAAATGTAAAGGAAAATAAAAATCTCAAGACCACCCCCCAACTCCTGATACAAAAGGGAAGGTGAAGCCTGGAGGCTGAGTCCTGCAACACCCCCTTCCACAGGAACAGCTGCTGCTAACATTCTGCATCAGCCAGGTCACCAAGGAAAGCTCAGAGGCCTCAGGCATCAACACGGACTGCCCCACAGACCATTCCTGAGGAAGTTCCTTGCTGGCCTCGCATGTACACGGACATGCAAATTGTGACTTTGGGTCTGCAGACTAAGCCCAGATCCTAAAACTAAAGTCTGTTCCATTCCACATTAATAATGTTGACTGCAGGTTTATCTTCCCAGGTGCGGAACAGAGATAAGATGAGATCAATCATTCTTCCACCCACCCAGGGACATCTACATAATTGATTCTTCTTTCACTCCCTTTTTCTTTTCAAGCACTCACCTTATCTTAAATAAAATATAGATTTCTTGGGCTTCACAAGAATGTAGCCATTTGCCTCCCTGCCCATCCCCCTTCTGCTTTTTCTTTCTGTATGCCTCCTCCCCTTAAATACGGAGTTGCCAAATCCCTCTTCAGAAAAAGTCACAGATGCATCTGTGGCTTGTCTTTTTCTGGAGTGCATCCTTAAACTGCAGCTTAATAAGCCTCCATTGATTGTGCAAAAAGCAAATCAAAGTCTCAGAGCCCCCACCTCCTTATGCAAAAGAGAAGGTAAAGGCCTCCGGTGCCTGTGAAGAGCTGACCCCACAGATCATTCATTAAGGAAATTCCTTGCTGACCTCCCATAAGCAAGGACGTGCAAATTGTACCTATGTTTAGCACCTAAAACTAAAGCCTGTTTGATTCCACACTAAGAATGAATTACAAGTTTATCTTACAGGTAGCAACTGGAGACAAGAGGGAATCGGACATTCTTCCACCTACCCAGGGACATACACAATCGATGCTTCCTTCACTCCCTTTTTCCCTTTTAACATTCCCCTTATTTTATGTAAAATGTAGATTTCCTGGGCCCCACAAGAATGTAACCACTTTGCCTCATCAACCCCCCGCCACCCCCCTCCTCGCTTTTTCCTTCTCTCTGTTGCCTTTAAATGCTGCAGGTTCCAATTGCCCCTTTGGAAAAATGACCATAGCTTGTCTGTGGGTTGTGTTTTTCCCAGGCACCTCCTCAAAATCTTGGTTTAATAAAACCTTCATTGATTGAGATCTTTGTCTCAGTCATTTATTTTTGGTTGTCATAAATGTGGTTTTGTAAGACGCATGTCCAACAAGTGAAGCTTTGGTCTTCATGGGGAATGTTACTAGCATGAGGCAATGAAAAATCTTTTTTTTTCACTATAAACCCAACACATTCAATCCAAAGGGTTTATATGCTGAAGAAGTCTTAGCATCAGGTGCCTGTGTCTGGCTGAGGGCCTGGACGGTGATGGGGGCTGCTGCTGAAGTGGGCTGAGGCCTGTGTTCTGATCAGCTGGAGCTGCCTGCCACTCAGGACGCTCGGAGCAGCAGGGGCCTTCCAGGTGAAGCCTCAGCCTCTGAGTTCCCACGCTACACCTTGCTTCCAGCACTTAGATGCTAAGGACCCAGAATGAGGGAATTTCTGGGTCCCAGTTGAGTCTCTCTAGAGCTGCATCATCTAACACAGTAGCCACTAGCCTCACGTGGCTGTTTAAATACGCATTACTTAAAATTACCTATAAATTTAATTTAAATCAGTTCCCTAATTGCACTAGCTACACCTCAAGTACTCAGTAGCCACATGTAGCTACTCGATTAGACAATGCAAACGGAACATTCCCATCATCACAGAAAGTACTACAGCATAGCACTATCTAGAGACCACTCCCAGCCCCAGGCAGTGGGTCGGAACTCTGACCTAAGCCTGGGTCTTGCCAGCTTTCTCTGTGCTTGTTCCACCCAGCATCCTCTGGCTGGGCCCTGCTTTTCCCAGAGAGACAGGCCTGGACATCTCTGCTACCTGCATAGATCTCCTGCTGCACTCTCTAATCTTAGTGATCTTTCCATTCAGCAATTATTCACTGGGCATCTCCTATATGCCAAAAAGTATGCGAGGGCTATGGTGATAATCCAGACAGGGGTCCCAACCTAACAAAGCATATTTTCTAGAGAGATGATGCAAACAAAGCTTGGGTAGTTACAAGAAAACAAAACATGGCATTAATAATAACATGCAAAATGGGAGCCATTTGGTTGGGTGGTCGGGGAAGCCCTGCCTGAGGAGGGGACAGTTCAGCTGTTCCTGAGTGGGCAGAAGATCTGAGAATACACATGTCAGGCAAGGGAACACCCAGCAGAAAGGCCCTAAGGTGGGAATGAGCTGTTGAGTTTGAAGAACAAGAATACCATGGTGGCAGGGGCTTAGCAGGTGGGGGGAGACAGTTGGAGAATGAGGTTGGAAAGGGAGGCAGGAACAAGAGTGCACAGGGCATTGGAAGTTGGAGGCAGCAGGCAGGTTAACTGTATCCTTAGGTCCATAGGATGGTTTCCAGGAAGCAACTGACATGCTCTTGTGCAAGGATACCAGCCCTTGTCAAACTGGAATTTTCCACCTCCCCTGCCAAACATTGGCTTCTGAATTTATGACCCCTCGCTCCAAAGTCCTAGGACTGCAGGTGTCTGTGACCTCTCTCTACTATGCCCACGTGACATGCAGCAGAGAAGCAGAGACTAAATTAGCCAGTGCTGGGACACAATGAAGCCCCAGGGCCACAAAATGGCCTTCCAGAGCCTGGAAAACAAGAGACTTTTTTCTTTTTTTCTCTTTTTTGCTTTTCATATTATCTGCTTTAGAAAACAAGAGACTTTTGAGAACTTCAGGCCACATTTAAATGAAGCAGCATTGTTGCTATATGTGGAGAAATCAAAGTGGATACCTTGCCTTGGGACTCCCTCAAAAGATTTTTTTAAAATTTAGTTCTCTTTCACTGAGTTGTCACTGGCTCCCCCTTTTACGACACTTTTGTTTAGAGATAGAAGGTGCCTTAGAGAGTAACTAGCTTCTCTTTCTCTGCAACCTCTAAACTCTGAACATGCCTTGACTGTTTCACTTCTCATATTCCACAGCCATCGTTGTATCTTTCTGCCTCTATTGTCACCTGAAGGCCCCTCAAGGGCAGGGTCTTATTTAGCTCTGTATTCTCAGGGCTTATTCCGGGTCCTTGTACACATCAGCAGCTTGGTAAGATTTGTAGTTATTTCTTTTCTTTCTTTTGTTTTTTTGCTCTTTGAGAAGTTTAATTTGAATTACAAAAGATTTTGCTTGGGTAGATAATAGAATTATACATGCAAATCATCAAATCATGAAATTAAAAACAAACCTTAAATTCATATTGTTAATAATCATTAACTTTATAAAGTCTTATTTTATGTTTTGAACATCATAATTATGTTCTGTGCTTAAAGGACTAAGTATTCCTTAAGCAGAATTTAATGGGAAAAAATTATCAAGAAATTCGTTTTTTAAATAAGGAGCGTATGTGTGTGTGTATACAGAAAAGAGATGGAGTTTTGTATGGAAATTTGCCTCATAAATGAAGTTAAGAGTATTCCCCCCCATGAAAATCCTGAGATTATCCAAGAAATAAGAAAACCAAAAAAATTCACAGTACAAAGTCAATATACTAAACAAGAAAAAAATGTTTTCAAAACATATATACTATCCAAACATTTTTAGTTATATCATTTTAAATATCTTTAAAATTGAAGAGGGAAAGGAGACAAACATAAATTTTTTAATGCCTTCTTTACCCACAATCTGAGGGGTGAAAATAACTAAAACTGAATATCCTGTTAATAAAGATTTTAAATATAAATAAGCCCTTTCATGTCTTATCTTTATAAAGTTTAAATACTAGTTCTTCAATTAGGGCTAATGTTACATCACCATGAATTAGAAAAATACACATTCTCCAATCAGCCAAATAGCTGATAAGAAGTTTTTAAACATTTACCATACTGAAGTGGAGTTTGACAATTTGTTTTCATATACAGTCCTGTGTCGTTTAACATGTTCTGTGAAATGAGTTGTTAGGCTATTTCATTGTTATGTGAACATAAACCTAGATAGTATAGCCTATTACCTACCTAGGCTATGTGTCATAGCCTATTGCTCCTAGGCTACAAACCTGCTCAGCATGTTACTGTATTGAATACTGCAGGCATATTTGTAGTTATTGATCTTTAGGCTGCGCCAACCAGGCTAAACACCTTTGTGGGTTGAACTGGGTCCCCACAAAAGATATATTGAAGTCCTAACCCCTGGTATCTGTGACCTGATTTGGAAATAGGGCCTTTGCAGATGTAAGCAAGTTAAAATGAGGTCATATGGGTGTGACCCCTGGAAGCTGAAATCGGAGGCACAAGTCAAGGAGCTCCAAGGATTGCTGGCAACCACTGGAAGCCAGAAGGGAGGAACAGATTCTCCCTCCGAGGTTTCAGAACTGTGAGGGAGTAAGTGTGTGCTGCTCTAAGCCACCCAGTTTGTGGTAATTTGTTCCCAAGCGGTAGGAAACTAACAGAGATAGCATAAAATTCAATTACAAGATCACAGACTGGGCTGGAGTGAGCAGTTGTGTCTGTGAGTTTACATCACTCATTTATCTTTTACTTTATTCCACATTTGATCTCTGCTCTTTTCTCTGATATATCACATGATTTGAAGAGTCTTCATTTCTCTTTGATTCTTATAGAGATTCTTCAGGGAATGGCAAAATCCCAAGTGTAGTAATGTATAAAAAGAATGAAGAATCTTTGAGGTTTTTGGAATTTCACTACAGATCCCGTAGACCGGGTGCTGCTTACGTTGGACTAAATTGGCAGTATCCAACCTTCTCTGTTCCTCCCGGGGACACGTCCATCTGTCATAGCATGAGGTTCTATCATTCTTAAGAAACACCCATGGCTGTGCTCAGACGTAGAAACGCACTGGATGCAACTCCTCCACAAAAGAAAGCCAACCGGAACGCAAGTGGAGAAAAGGGAGCTTTCATACGGGACTTATCTTGAACGTTCACAAACTTAGGCTCCTGGACTTTTATCAGTGATCAATACTGGAGAGAATGGATTCCAGATCTTCTGGCTTTATGATTTATAAATATAGCAGCTCCAGAATTCTTCCAAAACTCAGCCCTGACCATGTTACTACCAGGCACCAGCGCACCTAGGATTTATATTCCCCAGATTACTTAAGCAAGAACTCCACAGTTGAACCACGACCAAGTAAAGCAAAAACCGATGAAATCGCCGCTTTAATTTCCGGCCCCGCCCTATGACGTCAAAGCGCCACTGAGTCTGTGCGTCATCGCCACGCGCCGCGACCCTGGCCCTGAAGTGCCGGCTGGTCATGGCGGAGGCGGGTCGGGTCGCGGTGAGCGACTCAGGAGGGTTGCTCCCGGGGGGCTTCTGGGCGGCCGTGGCTGTGTGGCTGGAGAGGCCGCAGGTGGCCAACAAACGGCTGTGCGGTGCCCGTCTGGAGGCCCGCCGGAGCGCCGCCCTGCCCTGGGCAGAGGCCCGCGGCCCCAGGCCGAGCGCCGGTCCCGAGCAGGAGGAGGGACCGGGACCCGGCCCCAGGCCTCTAGCAGGACCCGCGAGGGGCACGGTGGGTCGTGGACGTCCGGAGGCCAGGGGCCGGCGCCAGCTAGAACAGGCACAGAAGGAAGCAGCCTCAGCGCCTCTGCTAGCTGGGAATCCGGGGCAGCCCGGCAAGGCCGGTGACGGGGAGGGCGACTTGCCCGCCACGGACCTGGATTTGCTCTGGGACGATTTCTCCCGCAGTCTCGGCGGCGGCAGTCCGGAGTTGCTGGCCTTCCTCACGGGCCCCGGGGCGGGATCTCAGCCTGAGACGCAGCACGAGCTCGACGTGGTTCTCAGAACCGTCATCCCGAAAACGAGCCCTCATTGCCCGCTTGCAGCTCCGAGGAGAGAAATAGTCGTGCAAGGTAAGAGCATTTTGGAAAGTGGAAGGATACGATTAGATTAAAAAGCATTCGTTGAATCTCAGGTCTGAAAAGGTACTCAAGGCACTTACTGTGCCAGTTCTTCTCTGGTGTCTAGGGAGGTTGTAGGTTTTTTATTGTTTTTTGAGTAGGCTCATAAAAATACGTGTCCTTAGTACAATGGTTGGGATAGTTGATTGGGTTGGTGTCTGGAAAGCTTCAGGGAGAAGGTGAACGATGAGCTGGATGTTGAATGATAAATAGGAGTTGAGCAGGTAAAGAGATAAGTGGAAAGGGAGCAATTTATGCCAAGACAAACAGGGGTAAAAGAGCGTAGTGATTGGATGGATGAGAACCTATACTAGTCCTCAGTGTTTGTCAAATCTCTGGCGTTTATTTTCACTGTCCATGACCTTGACACTTCAGCCTTAGCCCCTCGTCTTGAACTTTATTCAGCTAAATTTCCTGTGGCTGCTGTAACACATTACTGCACATGACTGTAATTTCTTGGCCCAAACGAGAAATTGATTTTCTTAGTTCTGAAGGTCAGAAATCCTCGTTGGCTCTGCTCATTTCTCTGTTCTGGTTTTCTCTCACAAGGCCAAAAAGAAAGAGCCGTTTGGCTGGGCTCTTATCTGGAGGCTTTGGGAAAGAATCTCTCCCAGGCTTATTCAGGTTATTGGCAGAGCCCAGGTCTCTAGGCAGAACTGGGGTCTTTGTTTCTGTGTTGGCTGTCCACTCCTAGAGGCCTCTTTGGTTCTTTTGTACAGCTTCCTACATTTCAGAGCCAGCAACGGGGGCTAGTCATTCTCATGCTTGGAACCTCTCTGACTTCCTTTTCTGTTGGCATCTCTCTTCCGCCTCCATCTGGAGAAAGTTGTCTGCCATTCAGGGCTCATGGGATTAGATTGGGCCACCAGGGAAATCCAGAGCACTCTCCCCCTCTTTTAGGGTCTGTGTCCTTAATCATGTCTGCAAATGTTACATGGCAAAAGGAGCACTTTGCAGTCCACACAAATTGATATAATGCCATAAATTTAGCTTAGGAATATGTTGCTCTGCTTATATTTTAATGGGAAGGTGAGTGCAAAGTCCCTGCAAACAGCGAGGGCTCCACACAACATAAAGCCTGGGTTATGAGGGCCTGGAATTACTTTCCTGAATTGGCCTCTGATGGTTGGGCAGCGTTCTATGCCCCCCACGTCTGAAGGTCAAGGTCGGGCTGTAGCAGACACCCAGCTGGAGCAGAGATCCCCCCTCTCTCCGTCCAGTTATAGCTCTCAAGCCCCGACAGACTCCAGTTGGCTGGCTCTTCCCTTGGGTCCTGGCTTGTGCACCCCCCAACAGATAGCTGTTAAGAATGGCTGCTGGGTGCCTTGCACATTCTGGGCACTGGGCTGTAGCAGTGAGTAGAAGACAAAAGCCTCTCCCTTCCCCTGCAGTGCCCTTGTAAGCAGAGTACTGGGAAGAGCCTCTGAGAGATTGAAAGCATCATAATTTATTCATTATTTTTTTTGATACTGCTTCTGATAAGATACTGAGCTAAGCAGTTAGAATTTGTCATCCTTCTCTTGTTTTTCCCAGATGTCCTCAATGGAACCGTCACTTTTTTACCTCTGGAAGAAGATGAGGAAGGGAATTTAAAGATTAAGATGGGCAACGTGTATCAAATTCGGCTCAGTGACAGCAGGGAAGAATGGTAAGAACTGGGTGGCCGATTCCTGTTTCCCTGCTTTATGGTTTCGATCCATTATTTCTTTAGGCAGCTGAAAGATTGTGGATTGCTGAAGAGCTTACCGTCCTGATCTCTTAGGCAGTTATGGTTTGAATGATTACACTTGCTAGTTGGTGTGTCCATGGCATGTTGTTCTTTCCGTTGCTGCCCATCCCTGCGTCTGGGTGGTCACAGCCTGGCCGAAGTCTCTAGCATAGTCTGTAGCATCTACCTTCCGTGTAGCCTTGACAGTCAGCAGCCCCAGGTTTTAGCACTGAAGTCAAATAAGTTCAAATCCCTTTATTATTTTACTTTTTATAACTTATTAATAGGGAGTAGGTGATGGTTCCTTTTATAGTGGATGTTCAGTAATGCTTATTACAACAGTAACAGTTTAATAAGCACCCTTAATTTCATATGGTATTTGTACCTGTACAGAAAGTATGAAATTTAGTTTATACCATTTGCTGTTTTTTAAGCAAAAAAGTCAGAGGAAGGGTAAATTCACTTTTCACTCTTCTGCTGCTGTTTCCCTGAGTGCCCATCAGCTTATGCTTCCTAGAACAGTCTTAAGGGATGAGTCTCTGTGACCAGAATGGGTTTGCACGTGGCTTCCTAGAAAGCAGAGGGCCACAGTAGGAAGAACCTGGGTGTTGGAGTCAGACAGACCTGGGTTTGCCCACTAGCAGCGTGGTCTTGAGTGTGTCACTCGATTTCTGTGGCCCTCAGTCTTCTCGCCTGTGAAATGGGTTTGATGATTCCTGAGCCTTTGAGGAGGTGGCTGGGCTGGGCCTTGCAGGGACCTTTTGCAGGCTTAGAGCTTGGTAGGAGCACTCGGCCCCTTGGGAACTGTCCAGAGGTTGCCCCAAATTGCCAAGGGAACCTGCCCCGAGGTCCACTCCTGTCAGTGTGCTCTTGTTGGAAGGTGGGGAGTGAGAGTGATACTGGGAGCAGCTCGGTGAACTGTGGCAGTCACCTGGGCACATGCTAATGCTGGAGCTCTTTGTCAGCCCTGAAGGCAGCCCATCTCCTTGAGTACAGTGAGAGCACCTAGTGTGGCTCCTGGCCATAGTAGTTGCTTGGGGTGTGTTCGCTGCGTTGGAGTCACGTTCGCTGTCCTTTGACAAGCTGCTGAGGACACAGCAGCTGCTTCCTGTCTTCTCTGGTGGGCAGTTCCTGTCATGGCCCTGCTGGGCAGCTGTCACTCGCAGTCTCTGGGTGTGACTTGGGGGCCAGATGAATTGCATTCTAAGTTGAGCACAAATGAAATGGACACCGATGGGCTCTGTTGTGGAGCATACGTGCTCCTCCTCAGCACGTTTCTTTTTAGCAGTGTTTGTTGTGTGCCCGGCATGTGCAGGTCTCACCGGGGAGACAGACAGTACATGCTCCAAAGCAGGTAGTGCTGTGAAGAAAACTGAAACAGGTAAACAGTACCTCCCCGTGTTCCCTCATTAGTGATGGCAGTGTTGTGCCCCATGTATGTGGTGGGTGGGGAAGGCCTCTGAGGAGGGGGTATTCAAAGGGATGCCAGAGTGGATGCAGAAGGTGGAGGCTGCATGGGCCCCTGGGGACCCCTGGGGAGAGCATCGAAGCCCAGGGGGCAGAGCAGGGGACCCGCCTCGGCCAGATTGTATCTGCAGAACACGTGGAGGCCACTGAGGCTGGTGTCAGGCTGCACAGGAGAGCCTCTGAAGTGAGCTGCATAGGCCTCACAGAAGCAGCAGCCAGGCCAGGGAAAATGTTCGGGCCCCCTCTGGGCCGCTTCTCTCTGGAGAATCTTACGGGAGTGAGTTGTGCCCCTGTGATGCACTGTGGTGCAGAAAACCTGAGAACCGTGGCTCTTGCCAGATGGCCTGATAGCTTGCAAGTGTCCCCACACCAGTGCAGTGCCACCCCTTCCCCAGCATGCCAGTCAGGCCTTTCCAGCTCTGCCCCTCATCCAGCAGCCTAGGTCTTTTATTAGGGATACCCGCTGAATGTCACCTTTTTCGTAGCTTTCTCTCATTTGCCCAAGAAACTTATGCTCTTTCCTCTCCACTATGATTCCCAAATGTAGCCCTTCAACAATGTATTGTCCTCTGGGTCCACGTTTGTCCCTGCCAGCCCCCCATGGGTTGTGAGCGTCCACTCGTCTATTGAGCACTGTGCCAGGCCCTGCGAGGAACTGGGATATAGCAGTGAGTGAAATAGACAAAAGCCCTGCCCTCGGTACCTCCTGGTGGCAGAAGATGGGGGAGAAAAAATAGACCAGTAAAATGCACGGAGTCCATGTGTGTCCTCTACGTGACTGAGTGACTGAGCACTTAGCTTTCGGGCAAATAGATGTTTTGTGAACCAGTCTACTCATATTTTAGTTGCACTTGTGAAAATACATAAAAAATAGAAATGTTAGGAAAATCCTTAGATGTTTTAGAAGCTGGCTAGTTTGTGCATGAAGCAGAAGGAAGGAGGAGCTTTATCTGTTCACGCATCCGATGGACATCATAGGCTGTGTATATGCGTTTTTAGCAAAGTTTGCAAAAGAAGAGGGATTCTTTGTGCTTTTTAAGTGTTTTTCTCTATTAGATGAAAATTCTCTAGTTCCAGATTGTTTTATGTTTTTGGTAAAATGCTTTTTAATTATAAATGTTTTAACTTCTCCTTTCTTTTGGTAAATAATTGTATAAATTAAATATGAGAATTGAAAATAGCCCTGCTTATTCATATTTCTCTTATTTTTAAAGGTTCATATCTGTTTTAATTTTCTGTCCAGAAAGATGGCATTCAGATGGAATTCTGTATCCCAAACCCACCTGGCTTGGAGAAGAACTGCTGCCCAAGTTGGCCAGGTGGTCTGTGGAGAACAAGAGGAGTGAGTTTAAAAGCACCCTTTCCCTCATTTCCATTGTGAAATACAGCAAGGCTTACCAGGAGCTTAAAGAGAAGTATAAAGAAATGGTTAAGGTAATTCTGGTAACATCTGGAAACATTCGTGATTTCTTTTTTTTTTTATTATTTCATAATATTATGTGGGTACAAATGTTTAGGTTACATATATTGCCTTTGCACCGCCCAAGTCAGAGCTACAAGCATGTCCATCTCCCAGACAGTGCACTACACCCATTAGGTGTGAATGTGCCTATGCCCATCCCCTCCTCCCCGCTTCCACCTGCCCAACACCCAATAAATGTTACTTCCATATGTGCATATAAGTGTTGATTAATTAGTACTGATTTGATGGTGAGTACGTGTGAACATCGGTGATTTCTTTTCCTTCTCATTTAAATGAGGTAATATGATCAAACTGCCAGGTAAAATTGTTTTTCCTGCGAACCTTCTAGTTTTATACAGATGCAGACATCAAGTCCAAATAGACCCACTTAAAGTTACTTATTGTAAGCTGTACTTTGATGTACTTTGGGGTGCAAACAACAAAAACATAGGCAGATGTGTTATAGAAAAGGGTCTCTTTTTGTACATCATTTTAAGAGAACAAAAGGGAAATATTTAATTTATAAGTAGTTGAGTCTCGAATAAATGACTAAATTACCATAATCCTTTAGTATAGACTTAAAGATATTTTAAGAAAATATATGAAAAATTAAGGTATAAAGAAGATACTTCCGAAAAAGAGATAAATTTTGTGATAACATGTCCTTAACTTTATATATAAGATGTAAGAGGAACACAACAAACGTCTGTGTATTCACACCGAGCTTGAGAATTAAAGCATTGCTAGCTAATATAGTTGAAGCTCCTTTGTCCTCTTCCTAGTTCACGTCTCCCTCCCTCCTCCTAGAAGGAACCACAATTTATTATTTCCATGTATTTTTTTAAAAAGTCACCTCTTGCATGTTACAAAGCACCCCAAAAGTCACAGGCCTAAAACGGCAACCGTTCATTGTTGCCGAAGCACCTATGGGTCCCCAGGGTTGGCTGATAGAGGCTGGGCTCCTGTTCCGTCCCAGGTCCTGGGCTGGTAGTCCTTCACTGTCTTGCTAACTATTCAGTGCCTTCCAGAAAGTACTTTTTATAATATATTTTTTCCAGCTTTTAAGATTGTCCTTAGATGGTTCATCTGCATTATCTAATGCATTATGACTGGAAATAGAAATTCCAACATTTACCATTGTCCGTGGATTTTTCTTTTCTGCCAAATGCCAGTTATGTACAGTACTAATTTTAGTAATGAGACCTCACCCATCACAGCTAGTGCTGTACAGTGTTCAGAGCACCCTGGTGATCGTCCTGCATGTTAGTTAAAGCGTAGGCTTTATCCCTCTTTTCAGATGGGGAAACAGAGACAAAATAGGGAAGGAGGCAGCAGCTAGCACTGCCGGGTCAGAGGGTGGCAGCGCTGGTCTTTTGCTCCCCAGCCCTGGGCTTTCCTGCTCTTCCCCGCAGCTTGTTTCCTGTTTGATACCCTTATGTGCATAAACAGCACAGGATAGCTGAGTGTTTTCCTCTGATGTCCACTTGCCTCTTCTAGACATCTTACATTTTCTTTATCATAAAACCTTGCTCTGGAGCACATTGTCCTTGGCATGTCTGGTTACATAGAAGTAGCGCCATAGTTTTATGTGTCTTTATGTAAATTTCTTATTGTAAGAGAACAATCATGAATTTGTGCATTTGAGTGAACTGATACTTTTATTGCACAGTTAATCCAGTTTGACTTAAGCTTGTGGGGGAGACTTTAAGTATTAGGAAGTGGCAGGGAAATAGAACAATTTACATGTGCCTTTGAAAATGTTTTAGGTGTGGCCTGAAGTAACTGATCCTGAGAAGTTTGTGTATGAAGATGTGGCTATTGCTGCATACCTGCTGGTAAGAATGTATATAACCTGAGCTTATCTGGAGTGGGCGCAGGTTGCTACGGCAAGATGCTGCCAGCAGTGAAGGACATCACCAAAGCCATAGCTCACAGTGTTGACAGCTGTTTGGAAGGTTGCTTGCACGTGGGATGGTTTCACTTTGTGAGATACTTTTGCATGAGTGTCAGCAGGTGCCGGTAGGTCCATGATTGGTGGTGACCAGGAGGTGCTGGCTGGCGTGGAGAGGGGCATGTCTCCAGCCCTGGCCTGGGGGCTTCTGGCCCCCTTTCCTTAGTCTGACTTTCTTACCTATAAAGAGTTATCTAAGTAGACTAGGTAATTTTCAGTTTCCTTTGAACTTAAATTCTATTATACTGTTTAGAAATAGCATCTTTTTTTGATTATCAAAGTATACAAAACTTAAAGGATGTAGAGAAAGTGTGAAGAAACTAACAATAATCTGTAAAGCTCTTGCCCAGCGATGAATGTGGACTCCCGATGGACAGAGAAAGCTGGGATGCTCGTGCAGCATCAGGCCAGAGCACTGGGCTGGCTCCAGCCACCTCAGGGTGGACACCATGTCTGTTCCGCTCACCTGTGCATCACCTGCCTCGAGGCCTTTCTGTCCTACTCTGTTTATAACCCCAGGTGGAATTTCTGTCTGAATGATTCTTGAAAAGAGTGAATTACCAACTAGCTTTGTTTTGTTTTTTCTCTTTTCTAAGATTCTATGGGAAGAAGAAAGAGCCGAGAGGGGAGTAACTGCCAAGCAGTCCTTTGTTGACTTGGGCTGTGGCAACGGCCTCCTGGTCCACATCCTGAGCAGTGAAGGGGTGAGTGAGGCATGGCTCCCCGACCTTTTCTGGTAGCTTTTCCAGCGTTTCTTCAAGTCAGGCATAGGGTTCACCAATATCTTTTCTTTTTTTTATTTTTTTTTATTTCAGGAAATTATGGGGGTACAAACATTTTGGTTACATGTTATGACTTTGCCACATCCCAACCATGATCTGAGACGGGCCCTTCCCCTACCTACAACGCTCACCACATCCATTAGTTGTGAGTTTACCCACCCCCAACCCCCCTACGCCCAAAGCATGTTACTACTGTGTGAGCACCTTAGTCACAACATCTTTCCTGCTGGTACAGTCTGGATCCAGAGTCAGCCAGGCTATCAGAGTAGTGACTGATAAGCTTCTGTTAATTTGTTAAACAGATGTAAAATGTAAAATGAGGAAAAAAACAGATCCCGAGGACATCCCAATGTGGCCTTTAAGATGACAGGCTGTCAATAGCACGCATATTTCTGCTATCAAATTTTTCTTTTAAAAACCCCCCATTTCAAGAAACTGGAGGGTGAATAAAGGGTAAGATGGATTCTGCCCTTGAGAAGCTTCAATTCCAGCTCAGAGGACCAGTCGTGTACACACAGATGCACTGTGAAGCAGCCCAGTACTAGGTTTTATGCCCATTTTCTGGCTGCTCAGCTGATGCGGTAGAGGCAGTCAAGTACCGAGAACAGCACTTGCATGCAGAGCATGCTCAGTAGAGCGAGCTCAGTGTCCTGTGCCTGGAGCTTCCCACCATCAACTTACACCCTTCCTGGAGTGTCCAGCACATTAGGTACCATTGCCCCTTGATACAGAAGTAAGCTGAGTAGCTTCACGCTGGAGGGTGACACAGCTGGAATTTGAAGCCTAATCTTGGTGACCCCAAGCTGATTTTCTTCCTACTGTAGCTTTCTGCTTATGGGATACACATATTTGACCACAACAGTGGGAACGTGAAATGATTGTTATGAAAATGCACTTTTCAAAGTGTTTCATGAAAGAACGAGTTTGTAATCGTAACACTTGTGAACATATGGTTAGCACATCACAGCAGGTGGTGACCTGGAAGCCAGTACGTGGAGACAACTAGGAGGTGTTTTGTGTATCCCTCCTCTTCCCCTGGCTTGGAATAACTAAAGTTGCCCTGTGAGAGGTAAGGAGCATGGCCAAGGCGCAGGAGGAGCAGAGGTGCTCAGGAATCCAACTCTGAGAGCTGAGTACGCTCACGTTCTTAGGTGTGTACTCTGGGGCGCTGGCCCTGGAAATGTTCCCAGACTAAAGGCCACTGTGGTCACTTGACTCCATTTCTCTTCTTGAAGACACATAATGACCATTAGCAGAGTACAGGTTCTTATATACCTGGCCAAGGTGTGAGTGTCTATTTCAAATAGCTGAGAAATTGTGCTTGTGCCATGCCCAAACGCTAAGGGTCTCTTGCACTTTATACCGGTGGCAATGCCTGCAGGGCTTTAATTTGTTCATGCTAATGTATTATTACGTACGAAACTTAACCTTTGATTTCTAAAATTAATTATTTCAGCATCCAGGCAGAGGGATTGACGTCCGAAGAAGAAAAATCTGGGACACGTATGGATCACAGACTCGGTTAGAGGTACGTGTTTGTTCATGTACTTGATCTAGCATGGCTTAGCCCCTAGTGGCAATTCTTTTAGTTAATGTACCTTTTTGTGTAGATTAATCAGACATGCTAACCATAAACCTTCATGATAATATAAGTGCTCTGAAATAAGAAAGGAAAAAAAGAAAGGTGAAACTTTAGACTTCACAGCCTTCTGGTTAAACTGGAGAAAGGATGTTGACCCCCAGCCAGAAGTGCTGTCTCCTCCCCTGCGTCTGCCACAGCAGTTTGCATCTCGTGTGGGCTTCTCTTGTGCTGCCTTAAGGGCACAGCACGTGCCATGTGTTCTTTGCATCTTTGTTGCTTGTCACACGGTGCCAAGCCTGCGAGGACCCCGCCAGGGTGGGGGTACTGTGGGGACTTCCTAGACACAAAGGTCAATGTCTGTGTTGGGGCTAGTATAGGAGGTTTGGGAGACTGAGGGGACTTGGGGGAAGGCACTTGACCCCACCTGGGGGCTCTGAGAAGGCTTCTTGGAGCACCCTCACAGAGCTTTCTCTTCAGGGGTACGTCAGAGGTAGCCAGGTGCTCAGCTTGGAGTGGAGAGTGTCACCTGCTAATTGTCTCACGCACAGGAGGTGATGTGTAGGGTGGCTCATGTGGTTTCAGGTAATTTTGCTCATATTTTTGGACCAGTCGTTATTATTCTTCCTTTTTCTAGGACTTGAGTGGGACATTATTATTTTTCTTAATACCCCTCCCTAGAGATAATCACATAAACATGTACACCTTTAAAAAATACGTTTGTGGCCATAATGTATGTAGAATTTTGACCCTAGCTTTTGTCCATTTAACATCCATTTTAGGCATTTTCTGAAGTCTTAAACAATCATTTGTAAGGATTTTTTAAAAATGGTTGAATTACATTCCATTGAATTGTATGTAGCAACAATGTAAACAAGTTCAGTTGACCCACAAACAATATAGGTTTGAACTGCACGGGCGCACTTATATACAGATTTTTTTTCAATAAAATATGTTGGATGTTTGCAACAATTTGAAAAAACTTGCAAACCATGTAGCCTAGAAATACTGAAAAAATTAAGAAAGAGGTATGTTATGAATGCATAAAATGTATGTAGATACTAGTTTATTTTATAATTTACTACCATAAAATATACACAAATTTATAAAAAGTTAAAATTTATCAAAATTTAATTCACACACAGACCATACATGGCACTATTTGCAGTCGAGAGAAATGTAAACACATGTAAAGATGCAGTATTAAATCATAATTGCATAAAATTAGCACATACAGTACTATTGTAGTAATTTTATAGCCACCTTCTGTTTCTGTTGCGGTGAGCTGAAGTGTTATATCTGCTTAAAACACCATGGGATACTACTCATCTCTGTGTGAGCAGTTCACCTTTCCAGCAAATTGTGTATAGAAGTAAAAAGTGATCTTATGTGGTTCTTGCGCAGTTTTCATCATGTTTAGTGCAATATTGTAAACCTTGAATAACACACTGGGACCCATCCACAGTGCCACTAGTGATGCTGTAAGTGTTCCCAGGAAGCAGAAAAAAGCCACAACATTATAAGAAAAAGTTGAATTGCTTGATACGCACTCTAGATTGAGGTCTGCAGCTGTGGCTGCCACCATTTCCAGATAAATGAATCCAGTGTAGGGACCACCCTAAAAAAAGAAAAGGAAATTTGTGAAGCCATTGTTTGCAGCTATACCTTGCACTTTTCGCAAAATAACTTTTTTATCGTGTATTGAAAATGCAACTCTTACGTGGGTGCAGGATTGTTGTAAGAAAGCCATACTTACAGACTCTAATATGATTTGAGAAAAAGCGAAGTCACTATATGACAACTTAAAGTAAAGGGAAAGTGAAGGATCTAAAGCTGGAGAATTTAATGCTGGCAATGGATGGTTCGATAATTTTAGAAAGAGGTTTGGCTTAAAAATAACAGGAGGAAGCAGCTTATTGCTGGCCAGGAGGCAACAGACTGGTTGCCAGATGCCGTTAAGATCGTAGAAAAGAAAGGGTATCTGTCTGGACGGGCAGATGAAAGAGCCCTGTTCAGGACCAAAAAGACATTTATTAGTAAAGGAGAGAAGCAAGCACCAGGATTTAAGCAGGAGGGGATAGGGTAACTCTACGGCTTTGTGCAAATGCAGTGGAGTTGATGGTCCGGACAGCCCTCATCTATTAAGCTGCTGACTGCCGAGCCTTGAAGGGAGGAGATGACCATCAGCTGCCAGTCTTCTGGTTGTATAAAAAGAAGGCCTGGACAACGAGAACACTTTTTTTGGGCTGGTTCCATCGGTGCTTTGTCCCTGAAGTCAGGAAGTGCCTTGCCAGTTTTGATAATTGGACAATGCCCCTGGCCACCCAGAGTTCAACACCAGGGGTGCTGAAGTGGTCTACTTGCCCCCAAACACAGCATCTCTAATTCAGCCTCTAGATTCAGGATCATGGGACCTTTAAGGCTCATTACATGTGATATTCCATGGAAAGGACCGTTAATGGTATGGAAGGGAACCCAAATAGAACATCGTGACAGTGTGGAGGGATTACACCATTGAAGATGCCGTTCTTGTTACAGAAAAAGCCATTAAAGCCCCAAACACTAACTTCCTGCTGGAGAAAACTATGTCTGGATGTTGTGCATGACTTCACCAGGTTTACAACAGCTAATCAAGGAAATCATGAAAGAGATTGTGGATGTGGCAAAAAAGTTGGATGAAGGGTTTCAAGATATGGATCTTGAAGAACTTCAAAAGCTAATAGCACACCAGAGGAATGAACAGATGATGATTTGGTGAAGACGAGTGCTTCCGAACAGTGCCAGACGATCAGGAAGAAGACGTACAAGAAGCAGGGCCAGAAAAAATACTTGACATTGGACAATCTGGCAGAAGCTTTCAGATTATCCAGGACTGCTCTTGACTTTTTTGCAACATGGACCTTTCTACTAAAGCAAATGGTAGAAGGAGCATTGGTACCAAATAGAAACATTTTTAGAGAAGTGAAAAAGCAAAAAAGTCAGGCAGAAATTACAATATATTTCCGTAAAGCACGCTAAATGTACCTGCCTCCCCTTCTGCCCACCTCCTCCTCCTCTGCGTCTGCCACCCCGAGACAGCAAGACCAAACCCTCTTCTTCAGCCTACTCAGTGAAGACGGTGAGGATGAAGACCTTTATGATGATCCACTTCCACTTAATGGATAGTAAATATATTTTCAGTTTCTTACGATTTTCAATTTTTTTTTTCTTTTAGAGACAGGATCTCACTCTGTCACCCAGTTGAGGAGGAGTGGCCCGATCATAGTTCACTGCAACCTCAAACTCCTGGGCTTAATCAATCCTTCTGCCTCAGCTTCCTGAGTAGCTGGGACTATAGGTGCTCGTCACTATACCCGGCTAATTTTTCTGTTTTGTACAGACGGGGTCTCGCTATGTTGCTCAGGCTGATCTCAAACTCCTGACCTCAAGCAATCCTCCTGCCGCAGCCTCCCAAAGTGTTAGGAGTATAGGCATGAGCCACAGTGCCTGGCCCCTTAAGTTTCTTAATATTTTTTTCCTCTAGCCTACTTTATTGTAAGAATACAGTATACAACACATATACAAAATGTGTGTTCATCAGTACTTTATGTTATCGATAAGGCTCTGGTTAACAGTAGGCTATTAGTAGTTAAGTTTTGGGGAGTCAAAAGTTATATGAGGATTCTTGACTGTGCAGAGGGGTCAGTGCCCCAACCCCTGCCCCCTATGTTGGTCCAGGGTCAACTGTATGATAATAAAGGCCGACAGTCACTGGGTGCTATATGCTGATGCTAGCATGAAGACATTGTGTGCATTAACTGTACTGCTCACAGCAGCCCCGGGAGGTCGGTTCTCATTATCCCCATGTTACAGGTGAGAAAGCCAAGGTGCACTTGGAGAGGTTAGATCACTCATGTAGACAGCAAATGGTGAAAAGTGTAATTATTTACTCAGCTCTTCTGTTCACATTACAAGTTATAGTCCGTAAATCTTTATGCATAAATCTTAGTATACTTAAAAAAAAAAAAACATTTTCGTAAGCTGGACTTTAAAAGGTTTTTGATACGTATTGCCATAATGCTTTTGAGAAAGGTTCTACTTCAGCTATACTTTGACTTCGGGAAGAATTTTAAATACTGTAAGGGATGTAGCCAATAAAACAGGACAAAAGAGATATGTATTAATATCAAATATTTGATATTAATATATCAAATTATATACCTGCTACCTGCCGGGCATTCCCAGGTAGTCGTGATTCAGCAGTGACAAAGAAGTCCTGCCTTCTTGGTGGTGGGAGGTGGGGGGAAGGGCACACACCCCACCAGTGCACCCTGTAGGTGTTGGAGAGTGCTGAGCAGACAACCGAGCAGGTGGGGTGACCCGGGACAGCCTCGCCTGTGGAGGAACAGGAAGTGGGGTGGGGTGGGTTCAGGCTGCAGAGCCCAGGTACCTGTGGGGTTGGAGCTGTCTGGGAGCCTGGTTGGGAGAGCCACGTGCCCACAGGTTGCCGTGATCAGGTAAATCAGACCTTGGTCGGGAATAGGTTGCTTTTCCTGGCACTGGGGATAGACAGAAATGGCTCTGTAAAGGGAAAGAAATAATGGTCACCTTTCCAGGAGCATTCTCGGGACTCCTTGCAGTGCGTGGTGCCGTGGACATGGCCTCGCCCGCTGGCCTCGCCCGCTGGCCTCGTTTGTTGGGTGGTGCCATAGGTGTGACTTGCCTCTGCTGGGGTACTATGGGCATGGCTTTCTTCCTGCCATGCAACTCTCCCCCTGCCCAGCTGCTTGGATGGCCTCATGACCTTTGCCCACCTGGTTAAATGCAGGACTGTGACTAGGTCGTAGATTCTCATCTGCCAGAGGGAAGAAGGTTGATCTGAGAAATGAAAAAACATTTACTTTTCATTGTGGAGAACTTCAGGAATATACGAAGTGGAGAGTCGCATAATGGACCCATACGGTCGTCAGCCCGCCGCCACGGTCATTCTTTTCTCTGACCACCCTCACTGCAAACATTAGCCCTAACAGCTGTTTCGAAACAAATCTCAGGTATATCGTTTCTTAGAAATAGAAGTAAAATAAAATACTAAATAGAAAATAAAGTTTTTGAGACTTTTTATATTTTCTGTTGGCCTCACCTCCTGTTAAAGTTGAGAATAATATCGTAAAAAAAAGGATTGGCAGAAGGGAAGCTTGCTGTAGCCTCCTGACATCTCTTTATTTGCTTGTTTTTTGTTATATATTTGTGCTTTGTTTTATTCCACTGGAATTTGTGATTGCTTATACATTCATACATTATAGTTAATTTAAAATGTTTTTAAAATCTCAGGTTTTGGGAAATGTTGGTAAGCTAGTAGGTGCACTAGGGGAGTCTCTGCAGATACGTATGCAGACCATAGACTCTTACACACTTAACACAATTGGGCTCTAAATTAGTGATCAAAACAAAAGGAGTAGTCATGTAGTTAATTTCAAAATTTCCTGTGTCCCCAGGTGAAAAATAAAAATAATTTCTTTGGGTAAGAAATTCAGACAGCAATTGAATAGGCTCTCTGTTTAAGTTGTGGCCCTGGGAAAAAGAGCTGGCTGGTGTGAGGTGCCCCTTGGAGAATGGATACAAGGTTCTAGCTCTTTATTTGAGGTTCCCTAGCAACCTGCCTCGAACTTTTCTGTGGGGTCTTCCTGGGGAAACCCACAGGGGATTGCTTTGTAAGGCCTTCATTTAAAGTTCTTAAATCATAAAAGGAAGCTATTCCTAACTTAACTACATAAATTGTCAGAATGGTTAAAGTGCATATTCAGTGGGTTTTTAATCACTTTCTGATAGTTTACGAAAGGTTAATGGCATAGTGGCACAGAAATATGCATACTTACATGTGTAAATTTATCCTATGTTATATCTTTTCATAGATACACTTCCGTATGTAGCTTGCCAGGCCTGTGAGGCTGTACCAGGGCGCTGTATTGTACACTTTAATCAGTTTCAGGTCTGGGTGCTTTTCCCTCACCCACCCTTCAGGCCATCTCTTGCTTCCATATTCTGCCAAAGGTAAAATAGTTCACATGTCCCATCTCTTTTATAGCTCTTTTTTATACTTATGTAAAAATTATGTCTAATTATCAAAAGGAGATTAGTGCCCAGAAAAGTACCGTTAGTGTCTCCAGTGATTTCCCTAAAAGTTGCCAGTGTTCTGTGCCCTCCAGGGCAGACACGGGGCAGGTACATTCACTTCCTCACCCCTGGTGACTTTGGCAGGCCCAGAGGGGCTGAGGCCATGAGGCAGTTGAACTGCAGCTCTGCAGGGTGTAAGCCTTTGCTCTCCTGCTGTGCGCTGCTGACCCAAAGCTCTGCACTGGTTTGCTAAATACCTTATCTTGTTTTTGTGGTGTTCTTGTAGGAACGTGCAATCACCCCTAATGATAAGACCCTTTTCCCTGATGTTGATTGGTTGATCGGTAACCATTCTGATGAACTCACACCATGGATACCTGTCATTGCAGCCAGGTGAGTAAGAAGAGAAGTTGCACATGAATGGCTGTCCAAGAATGTAAGATGGTAGCATGTGTGGCTGTTAAGTACTCCAACTGGAGCTAGTTCAGAGTTTTGAAATGACAATATATTGGGTTAATTTAAAATAAATGCCACCAGTTTTGCTTTTTAAAATATAGCTACTAGAAAATATAAGATTGCATACGTGGTTCTCATTATATTGGCCAGTACTGATTGAAGCTGTGATTACTTCTGTAGTATTTATAGCCAGTGTCAAAAGATGTGTCCTTTTTGGAAGTTGTTTTTCTGATAACAGAGTTTATCTTCAAAGGAAAAATCTGTCAATAGATAGATGCTTTGCAGCATCAGTTGTCTCTTCAAAGTGGGACCACTGGGTGTTTGCAGAGACGGCCTTTCCTTGGAGCTGGAGACGCCCTCATGAGGCAGGCTGTGCCGTTGCTCCTTCCTGTTGCATTGCCAGATCTCCTTTGCCAGGCTCTTTGGAACTGTTTTAGTTCTCAAGGAATCTGTAACTTAATCGTTGTTACACCTACTTCTGAAATTTCTTATTCATGGCTGAAATCTCAAAGTACTTCAGAAGGTTTTAAATTACAGTTGACAAGAATAACTGTGATGGAAAATTATTTTTTATAAAAGCAATTACATTCATATTTTTTGAAAAGATATACAGTGCTGCATTATTTCTAGAAATGAAGTTGGGGAAAGCTATAATTAATTTCTTTAATATAAAAAACAATATTAGCCAGGAACAGATCTTCTATATTTTACCCTGACACTCTATTACCACCTGGCTTTCTGCTGAATTTTCTTTAATGGATCTGTTCATGAGTTTTGGTTTCTGTGGTGGTTTATTGTTTTCGAAGGTCTTCCTACGGTTGCCGCTTCTTTGTCCTCCCTTGCTGCTTCTTCGACTTCATTGGAAAGTACCGCCGGAGGCAGAGCAAGAAGACTCAGTACCGAGAATACCTCAATTTCATCAAAGAAGTGGGATTTACCTGTGGGTTTCATGTAGAAGAAGACTGCCTTAGAATTCCTTCAACCAAAAGAGTATGTCCTCGTGGTGTGTTAGTGTTTGGGTGAAAAGCTCAGGGCCACATCACAGAACTGTAAACCACAGCATGATGTTCAAAATGTACAAACATCCCGGAGGGCGCTTGTGCTAATTTTGGTGTCTCGGTCATTGATGGGGCTCAGAGGCTCTTTCTGTCTGGACAGTACTTCCTTCAAAGGCTTCCTGCCCCACACCCCTAGTGTGTGGTGCCTCTGTGGGAGCCCAGGTCACCATCTTCTCTGCACGACACTGAGTGGCCCAGGGCCCTTCTTTCCCAACAGGCCTCCACTTGATTTGGCAGTGATTTCCAGCCCAGAGTTCCTGGCGCTGAGCTCTGTGGGAAGTTCCCATCCCTTGGAGTTCCGAATGATTGGCTGAAATTGGAGTTTGTTTTAGAAGTTCAAAATGATTTCAAATTTCCTCGTTAAAAGCCTCGCTAACTCACATTTAGCTGAGATGTCATTTGGGCAGAAATTGGCCCCTGTGCTGTCTGTGAGACAGCAGGGTGTGTCCTGATCTTCAGGTGGACGGGGCAGACTGACCACTCTGGGGTATAACGCTTTGGAAGTGTCTTGGGAAGTATTTACAGCAATTTACGTTGATCTCTGGAACCTTTATTTTATAAGACTCTGTGGCTGTCAGATGTGTGCTTTTTAAAACATGAGCCTGTCATACCCAAGTCACAGAGCTGGATTGCTTGCCTCAGTGGGAGGATCGGGACTGATTGGAGCTTGGCTCTCGGCCTGCCGCTTTGCAGCCGTGCACTCTCAGGCAAGCTGCGGGCCTCTCCGGGCCTGTTCCTCTCCTGTGAAATGGGGAGAAGGCTGCCTGCGACTGTTGAGGACGAGACGGGTAATGTCTTCAGAGCCTGTGGCGGCACGGGCGTGTAGTGGGCGCTTGCTGGCTGCTAGCGGCCGTGGCCGTGAGCTGGAGAAGCAGCATCAGCCGGCGGCAGGAGCCTCGTTGCCAGAGATGCTGTCGCTGCTCCTACTGTGGAAGGTTCCTTTCGGACTTGTCTGCACAGCTGTCATGTCATCCTCTTAAATTCCTCTATTTTGGCAAGTCTTAGTCTTCTGAGTTTAGAATTGATTTTTGGAAACCACTGAAGTTTGGGTTATCTAGGTAGATCAGAGGGTCCCACAGTTCTGATTTTTGCATTTGTTGTTTATTAGTAGTAGTTAGAGACCAGGGGCTGTCACTTAGTTTTGCTGAGCCTCAGTTTTCTTACAGCTGGATGGTTTGGTGATCACATGCAAGAGTGGGTGTGAATGTGTTTTCTAGCTTCTAAGGCAGTCTACACATAGCAGCTGCCTAGTGGGGACCAGGTGTCTGTCTGACAGGCGCTGGGGAGTTAAGATCACACAGCAGGTGGCAGAGCTGGGAGTAACGAGGTGTGGTTCTGATGTGATTAGGTCGGCTTCTCCATCACGTGTAACTGGCTTTGTGGTTAATGCCCAGAGAGGAAGTCCCCCAATGAGGCACCCCACGACAGCATTGTTGGCTAGGCTTTGCTCTCCAGAGGGGAGTGTTTGAACGATGCCTTTGTTTGGATTTACCAAGAAGGAAGGAAATTAGTGCAAGCTGAACATCTACACGGTACCAAGCGCTCTGCTCTGAATACACTTACTCTGGCAAGGTTGATACAAAGCCTCATATAGCCCCCTCGAGAACTCATCAGCGTTAATATCTGCGTCTGCTGCTGGGGAGAGTGTGTGATGGAATGAGGGTGACCTTTGGAATGGTGTGGTTGCCGGGCTCCATGAACGCGGCCTCTGGACTTTCCTTTGGTCTCCGTGAAGGTCTGGGTGATGAGAGTTTTCACGGGCTCTGTTAGTTTTCTATTTTTAAGTCGTTTATATTGGCATTAGTTTTTAAAATAAGGATTATTCATGATAAGTGTCTAAAATTTTTATGAACAAGAGAATTGCATGGAGCAGGCTGAAGTTTATATGAGCCTGCTGAAGTACTTAACTTGGCTATTTTCAAGTGCAGGTCTGTCTCGTTGGGAAATCGAGAACATACCCGCCCACTGAAGAAGTTTTGATTGATGCGCAGAGGACTCAGTACATCACCAGCAGGCGGGGCTGCCCTGTGCGCCTGGCTGGCCGGAAGCCTTCCACTTCTCCACCCCAGGTTGCTGCTGGCTGTGTTGGTCACTGCGACGGTCACAGAGCCCTGGACGTCGGAGCTGAGTGTGTCCCCGAGGCCAGGCCTGCTCAGTGTGCAGCAGGGGCCCAGGTGGAAGGACCCTGGTTGCCCGGATTTCACCCCAGAGACAAAGCTGAGGGCACGAGGAATTGTGCCACCCTCCCCCGAGATTTTATTGACCAAGTGGTTTTGCAAGTGGCAAATTTGTTGTTAGGTGGAAAGCAATTAAACCCAAGAAGTTCTCAAAATGGGAGTTCGAAGACCTGGAATGGGGGAGGTAAGCCGACCACCACCCCCAGGGCCAGCACATGCGCTGGGTTTCTGGCAGTGATTCCCTTCTCTGTAGCCAGTGTGCAGGTGTATGGGCCAGTGATTAAATGCACTTCAGAAAAGACATGGATGTTGAATAGGCTATTTTTAAGCATATTTAAAATTTTCCTAATAGTTCCTATTAACATAAAGGACTTCAGATACCTCAGGGGAGGAAGGCTGAGGGCAGGGAGTGGCAAAGTTTGGACTCTTGATTAACCTTTACAAAAACACACAGATTCAGAGGCTAGAGCTACTCATTTTCACTCTGTACAAGTTATCCAAACAGAAAACAGGTTACCGAATGCCAGAAAAAGGTGCTGTTGCCTTGAATATATGGTAATATTTAGAGGTGTTATGATTTGATAATTTAATTCTCTTTGAAATTCCCAAAATACAAGAATCAGTCATGATAAAAGGGAGAAAATTGCATTGGATTATTCTCATGGGATGAGTAACACACTGAAATTAGTGGCATTCAGGGGGCTGCTCTCCAAGGAGCAGCTTGGTGACTAGGACGTGGCTTGGCCGCCAGAGGGCAGAGTGGGCTGCTTGTGCTGGGGCTAGAGTGGGGCTGCCTCTCCTGCAGCTCCAGGTTATGGGAGGAGAGCTGGAACCCCACCCCTGCCGGCCCTTGCCCTGCTGGTCAGCGGCGGCACCTGCCAGCAGCACCTGCCGGCTGGCACATCAGGGAGGAGGCAGGGACCCTTACTCTCTGAGCTCTGTCTTCCTCATCTGTTTCCTTCTTCATCGTTTCATCCCCTCATCTCTCATGTACATGTGACATGGCAGGACCATGGTGCACGTCCCCCCTTCAGAAATAATGCAGAGCTGATGGTGTCTAGTGAGAAGGGCTCTCCAGGGACCTGGTGGCAGCCGTTGGCCAGAGTGGCCTGGGTCAGGGGTCTCTGGGTTGGCCCCGCTGACTAGGTGCTCCCCACTGTGATGACCAGAGCTCGTAGTAAGGCACACTGGGGGTGGGGCCTCTTGGTGGGGCTGGTGGACCGTGGAGCCCACCACAGGGCACCCGGGGGGTGTTAGAGTGGATCTGAGAATTTGCAAGTGAAAATTCCTAAGTGCGATCTGACCTTTAAATTCCCAGGAAATGATGGGAGCGCAGGAGTTGCTGGCCTATGCCTGGGATGGAAAGCCTTTCAGTGAGCAAAGTGGAACCTTCCTTTCTCCTGCACTTAGAGAGCAGAAGTGGCTCTGAGTGACAGAGGCAGACTCAGTCCTGCCTGCCTGCTGGGAACGCCTGGCGTGCCAGGGACACCTCCAGATTGGTGTCTGTAGGTCTGGGGCATGCTGGAGGGCTCTCCAGGCACCCCCAGGTGTGAGAAGCTGCCTAGCAGGTGTGGAGGTGTGCCCTGGTCTCCCAGCCCATAGCCTCCCCTACAGGTGGCCTGCAGGTCCTTGGGTCGTCCCCGCGCAGCCAGCCTGAGGCAGGGCCCCCTGCACTTCTGAGCCCTAAGGGTCATGTGTGGGTCTGTCCTCAGGACCTAACCAATCTCAGCGAGGGCATCCACCCTCTGTAGGACACGGTGGAGAGAGATGCGGGAAGATCCCTGCCCTCGAGCAGCTTCAGGCAGCTGACGGGCAGAACATGCTGACTGCCCAGAGCGCCCATGGCTGAGAGTGTATGAGATCAGTGTCATGCAAGTGGCATTGGGTCAGAGCCTGCCAGAGGACTGGGGGCTGACTGGGACAACATTCAGTTTTTCTTTAAACGTCCTGACTCCTCTTGGAATGGATTTGAGGCAGCTCTGAGAGGTGGGCCTTGAGAGTAGGCCGGGCTTTGATGGAGAGTCTCCAGGCGGTGCTGCCTATGCGCGTCTAACAGACTGACCTGCAGGGAGGGCGCAGGTATCCCCAGCTCACCTGCAGCAGTGTAGGGAGGGCGCAAGTAAGGTGTGGCGTGCAGCGCCCAGCTGGCAGGAAGTTCTTGGCAAATACACACGGGAAAACCGATTTTCATTTCGTATTTATGTGCTATTTTGGTAATAAGCTGACTTCATTGTCACCAGGTTTTCTGATTAGAGTGGAGCATTTTGAAATGCATGCAGGCTCTGAGAGTAGAAATTCTAAATGGAAAACAGACCACCACTGTAATGTCTGTGCTATTGTTTTGTTTCTTAAACTCCTAACCTTCTACTTGCTGCTGCCTGTTCCACCTGGAGCCAGTAGCTGCTGGTGTGGGTGTGAGAGCTCGGACTCCAGGCTGACCGGCTCTGCCCTCCCCTCCTTAGTCCAAGGGACCTTGTCTGTAAGCAGCCATCACCCGTGTGGGTCACCAGGGAGAATGGTCCTGGGCGGCGATCACCCCAAGCTGGCATCATCACTGGGTCTCAGGCCTGGGAGCTGTGGTCCTGCTCTGGGTCAGGTGGTGCTGCTGCCCTTACAGGTGGCTGCGGTGAGGAGTGGGTGAAGTCAATTAAATTCACACAGCCCTTCCTGCTGAAATGCATGAGGGATTTGAGCTTGTAGAACCAGAATTGACTTCCAGACTCTGGACCCGACAGTTTCTGCCTGTTTAACTGGTTTGTAACAGTTTGTTGTTGTTTTGGGGAAACCCGGTTTTTCAACAGAGAGCCTCTCCTTGGCAGAAGTAGCCAGTGAGCTGGACAAGGAGACCCTGCGGACGCTGAAGCGGGAGTGCGGAGGCCTGCAGACCCTGCTGAGAAACAGCCACCAGGTTTTCGAAGGTACAGGGCTCCCATGTAGGGACACTCCACCCCTAAGCCAGTGACGGTGTCCTCTCAGAAACCCTGCGCCATGCTCTTTCCTTCCTTCCTCCTTTTTTTCAGTGAAGGAAGCATTTTGCTTTAGAGTAATCGAGCACACGGAAGGACTGGCAGGTGGTGTAGAGTTCCCCGTGCCCCCCAGATCCACAGGGGCAGCATCTGTCCTTGGGTGGGACGTCACTCACCCCTTCCCTCTCAGATTCTCTCCACCTCTCGCCCAGCCCGGCAACCCCCAGGCCCAGCCTCGCCCCCTTGCTCCTCACGCGGGACACAATGGGTCGGAACCTCCCAGGGGACTTTCCTGGGTGGGCTTTCATGGCTTGCTCTGCTTTTCGTCCTTGGCTGCTTGTGCGCAGCAGCATCTGGAGCTGCAGAGCCAGCTGGGGGAGCTGGGGAGAGCTCCTGCCCTGCCCTACCGTCACGGGCCGGCCGGGATTCCTGCCAGCTCCCCACGCTGAGCGCCGGGGGTGCTTCCTGTGGGAAGCTGCGCTCCGCTTCCCTCCTGCAGGGGCGCCTGTGACCCCAGGACTGCCACAGGCAGACTCAGGCCCAGCCCTGCTGAAGTTCACAGTCTAACGAAGGAGAGGGAAACACAACTGGTGTTTCCCCAGGTACCTGAGGTTTAACAAGTTGTGTTTAAAGTTTTCAAGTGTACAGAAAGGTGGTGCGAACAGTACAGGGAATTCCTGGATAGGATCACCAGAAAGCTGAGAATTTGCTGTACTTGCCTCATGCAGCCTTTTTTTCCCCTTCATTGAAGTATTTTGGAGCGAATCCCAGCTGGCGTGGTATTTCACCTGAGGCTGCCATGCGTATCTTTAAAAATGGGCATAGAACTGGGCACAGTGGCGCATGCCTGTAATACCAGCACTTTGGGAGGCTGAGGCAGGAGGATTGCTTGAGCCCAGGAGTTGGAGGCTGCAGTGAGCTATGACACCACTGCACTCCAGTCTGGGCAACAGAGCAAGACCCTGTCTCAAAAAAAGAAAAAAACAGTGGTCATGTCTTCTTGCATCACCACCATGCCATAAGCACAGTTTTTTGTGCAGGGAGAACTGGCTGCCAGAGAGCGCCCAGGAAGGCTTTAGTTATACAAGGACACTTGAGCTAGGACTGGAAGGAAAATGGGGGTCAGTCTTGATGAGAACAGGGAAAAGCATTTTAGACAGGGGGAACAGCATGTGCAAAAGGCCCCAGTTGGGGAGGAGCAAGAGGTGGGGATTGTGGGGCCTCTGACTAGTGGGAGGGATGACACGATGAGTCATGGTGGAAGGGAGCTCCAGTCCAGCTTCCACGTCCCCCGTCTGTGTGGGGCCTGCTGTGTGCCAGCTGCTGTGAGGGTCGAGGGCAGGGCTGTGTTCAGTCCCCACATGGTGGCTGGCTCCACAGTTGGTGCTTCGTAAGTAGTTGGTGCCTGTTTCTGCCCTGAAGTGTCCCATGGAGGCCTCTGTGGGCTGGTGCTGTGTACCTCACTCCAGCTGTTCTTTAGGGAGGCAGGTGTGGCGGGTGGGGGCAGGTGCTGACAGCAGTGTGGGGCCTAGCTGGAGCCCATGCCTTCCCCCAGGCCAGGATGGTGGTGCTGCTTCACGTCCTGGCTCCACTGCTTCTGTCAGACTGACACTCCCCTCCCCGCATTCTTCCCCTGCGGCCAGTGGCTCATGTTCCTCCTGTGCTCTCTTCTCCAGAAGCTTCCTGCTTGCTCCTGTCCCACTTGCGCCGTGGGCCCTGATGAGTGCCAGGTCTTGCAAGGCGTAGCCCAGTGTCCCCTCCACGAAACCTCCTTCTTAAACTGCTCCCGTCCCCCCCTCCCAGCCTGCCTCTCCTGGGCCTGGGTTTGGCACTCACTTGTGTCTCAGTCTCTGGCCCTCGCCACGTCGCACCCAGCCAGACTGTGAGCACCTTGTGGGTGGGGCCGCACTTACTCTGCAGTGCTCGCTCCAGCCTGGAGCTCACTGCCATGGTGCTCTGCATGTGTCACTGGGTGAACAGGCGATGGCCCAGGAGCAGGGGTGTACTGACCCCACTCCCTTGCCGATCCCGGGCCCCTGAGATGCCATCTGAGGGCAGAGCTCCGTGTGGGTGTGTGCAACGTTCTGTGCTGAGGGATGCCCACTGAGGTCCCTGTCTTCAGGTGCACCAAGCCTGTGCGGGGTGCATCCAGCAGTGCAGGGGAGGTGCCTTGCTGGAGGTCTGTGTGGGGAAGGGGACAGGTGGCCCTGCTGGGCCGGGGGCCTTTCCAAGATGAGCAAAGCCATCCATGGGGTGTACACCTACCTGGCCCAGTGGCCTTGGCTGGGGATACCAGGGACGTTAGTGGTTATCTGGGCCCCAGGAGTTGGAGGAGGTGGTCCCACCCCCACCTTTGTGCTGCAGCCTAGTGGCCAGTGGCTCAGGGAGGCCAGTGGTTAGGATTAAGGTTAGGGTTAAGGTGGAGAAGGAAGGAGGACACAATGGGCCTCATGCTGACAGAGGTACCTTTGCCCACCCCACTTCTGCCTCAGCCCATAGACCTGCTAAGGGAGTTGAGTGCTGCCAGCTGCTCTTCCCTGTGCCCCCATGTGTGTGAGAGCATGGGTGTGCATGCGCCATCCTGTGTGTACGTGAGAGCAAAGGTTGCAGATTTTCTCACACACACTGCTTTTGGGTGGCCTGGTTGTGCTTGGGGAGCTAAACTTGGCTTTTACCTAAATTGGCTTCGCTTACCATGGCTGGAGCCTGCATTTCTGGGGGTTGGCAGAGGGGGCCCAGAGGCAGCTCTGTGGGGGAGGCTGGGCGTGCGGTGCTGGCTGGGCCTGGGCTTGGCAGTTGAGCCTAGAATCTGCTCTTCCTCTCACAGAGCTTTAGGCGGTTACGATACTTCCTGCAACCCAGAGGGACCTCTCTTCTGTTTTTCCCAACACATTTTTTTTGTTTGATTTCATGAAATAGTATCTTTTTTTTTCCACTATAAATATGCATGTATGTTAGTGCTTTTCTGTGCAGTTCACATCAAGGGGCAAAATTATTTTTGGAAACACTTCTGAGTAGGCTTGGAGATTGAGTTTCAAATAAACATTCTCCTCCAGTCATGCAAAAAATATGCACCGGAGCCGAGTGTTATCTCCGTATGAGGTTTTGTTTTGTTTTTCAACTAATGTGGCTAAAGAAATGCTTGAAGAGTGGGGAAACAGAAACGTGTTCAGATGACTTCAGGTCAGCTAGTGCTGAGCACTTTGTGTAGCAGGCACCGTCTGGGGGCTGCCACGCGGCAGCAGTGAGGAGGCACGGATGTGAGGCTCAGAGCAGGTGCGGTGCCTGCTGCAGGGTGTGCAGGTCTCATTTCCACCTGTGCTCAGTGTGAGCCAGGCCTTCCCACCTTGAACCTGGGGACACAACCCAGAGAGGTCTGAGAACTTGCCCGGGGTCCCCAGCAGTGGCGAGGCTGCGCTGACACGGCGCTGAGCCTGTGACCGTCTGAGCACTCTCTGTAACCTTCAGCCAGTTCCTCGGAACGGTCCGGTGATGGCAGTGTCTGCTGTCGGAACCGTGGGGGAGCTGGAATAGTGACAGTGGGTTCCTGCGCTGAGTGAAAGCCGTGGGAACACACAGCAGGGAGGAAGTTCAGAAACATAGGAGAAGTGAGCCTGTGCAGGGCGTGTTTTCTTCCTGTGACTGCATTTTAAAATCAGGAGCGCGTTTCCACAGGTGGAGTCTGCTGCTGGCCTGACTTTCCAGCTTCTAGAGCACCACCTCCTCTGGCGCCTGGCATGGGCCTACCCGGGAGCAGGGGCTCGGTGTCAGGAGGGGTTGGCAGGGAGCTGCTCTGTGTCCTGGGGTGTAGAGCTGGGAGCATGTGCCCGGGCAGCCCTGTGGTCCCCAGCACTGCTTCAGCGTCATGAGCGCCCATCCCCAGGCCTGAGAAAGCCTCCTGGATCCACTTCTGGCCCTGCAGGTGCTGCCCAGTGATGTGGCCAGATGTGGTCTTAATTCCCAAAACCACCTGTGGGGAGGGGGCCCCCAGCTCTGCAGGTGGCTTGTCCTCAGAGTCCCCATCCTCAGGGTCCCCTTCTTCAGGGTCCCCCATCCTCAGGGTCTCCTTCCCCCAGGGTCCCCGGTCCTCAGGGTCCCCCATCCTCAGGGTCTCCTTCCCCCAGGTTCCCCAGTTCTCAGGGTCCCTGGTCTTCAGGGTCCCACCTCCCTCAGGGTCCCCCCCCAGGGTTCCCCTCCCCCAGGGTCCCTTCCCCCAGGATTCCTCTCCCCCAGAGTCCCCCATCTTCAGGGTTCCCCATCCTCAGGGTTCCCCCTCCCTCAGGGTCCCCTGTCCTCAGGGTACCCCATGCTCAGACTCTCCTGAGAGTGTCAGGGCACCTGGCTATTTGGGTCACGCCCCGCTGGTAGTCTGGAGGAGGCTCTGCCCTGAGGCTCCCAAGCACACTTGAGGGGTCCTGGGCCCCCCACAGGCCAGGTGAGTCCTGGAGGCGCTGCCGTGGGGACATCCAACAAATGTCCTGGAAGTTGCCAGAACCTTAGAGTTCAGGTTAAGAAACTTGAGCCTGTGTGGGAGGTGAGGAGGTTGCACCTGGCTGACCCTGCCTGGCAGATAGTAGAAGCTTCGGAACCCACCTCGCCTCCAGAAACGAATCCCCCCACTGTGCCCCACGGTGCAGCAAGGGCCCCCTCTATGAGCTCACGTCTCTGGTTTCCAGGGGAAGATGTTTTTAAAACTCTGTCTGCTGAGGGCAAACAGGCTCATTATTGCCCTAATTCAGGGTGATTTGAAAGCAAAATCTAAGCTTTCATTCACACACTTTCAAGTTCTCATTGGAAGTTGGTAAGCTAGACAGACTCAATAACGTTCCTTTATTTATCCTGGAGCCTTTCCGTCTCTAGTGGTTTTATAGCTTCCAGGGAAAACCAGGAAGGGTTTGGTTGCTTTGGCCACGTGCCCCGTGGAGTCATTGGCATCTCAGAAAGAGAGGGCTGAGTGGAGACGCAGGGCGAATCTCAGCCATTTGGTGGCCGGGTGGGGGCAGCTTAGAGGAGGGCCGGGAGGCCTGGCCCCGCCTGGGCTGCGAGTGGCCCACAGCTGCCCTCCCTGCTCTGTGTCCCCTCAGCTTCCCCGCTTGGAGACCAGCCCTGGCTGTGGGGTCCCAGAGTCACTTCCAGACTGGGTGTCTAAATCACAACACACAGGAGGCCCCCTCATCCGCCTTCCTGGGGTTCCTGGTCCCCAACTCCCCATTTGCATCTGGTGGGGGGCTCTGACTGTGGAGACACCAGGTAGTAGAGGCTGCCCCACACCCAGCACCCTCCTGTGCCTCCTGCCACACCCATTTCTGGCTGGTGCTGCTGAGATGTGCTGCGGCACAAATGTTCTCCTGTTTGTTTACCCGAACCAGGGACCGCAGTTACGGTTCTTTCCTCCTGGTCCACCCTTCAGCCACTAAAGTGATCCTTCTAAAATGATAACCGCGCAGCCTGTGCCAGCTCACCCAGAGGGTGGTGCCCCACGAGTTACTGTGTGACCCAGCCTTGTCCTCGGCCCTCCCTCTACCCCTCTGCTCTGGCCGGCCCTGATGCAGTCGTCCCCGGTCACTTGGGTTTGCTGCTGCTTCCGCCTGAAACTCTTCCCGGGTGTGTGTGAGGCCGCTCCTCACCTCCTGCAGCTGCCAGTGAGGCCTCCCCTGGAGTGGGAGCTTGGCAAATCCTGGTGAATTAGGGAACTTCCAGGTTAACTTCTCGGCCTGTCTTTTCTCTGTTCCAAACTGCAGTTCTGAATGGGAGAGTTCACATTCGCGATTGGAGGGAAGAGAAACTACAGAAGAAAAAGCAACCAGAGGCAAAACGGAGACTGTTCTCTGAATCTTTCAAAACCCGCCTCTGCTGGTTTTTCACTCACCACCCTGACGGCTGTGCTCTGCCCTCGGACTGCTGCCCGTTTGCCCACGGGCCTGGGGAGCTGCGGCCATCCCAGGCCACCAAGAAGAAAAAGCGGATTCCGGGAGCTGCTTCCTCCCCGGGAGTTGAGGCCTGACTGGGGAGGCCCAGCCAGGAGGGAATGTCACCAGCTCATCGACGCCGCACTGTCTGCGCTGCCGTTTCCTCTCCCCCTCTCCACGTTCTTGGGGTGATGTGACTGTTTCATGAACAGAGGGACCCAGAGAAGCCAAAGTCACTCATAACCCCGACTGGGTGCTGCGTTTGTTTTCAGTGCGGTCACTTTCAAGCGTGCACAGCGTCTGTGCATCGGGGGACAGTGCAGATTCTCATGGGTCTTCTGGTGAGAGCAGCCGAGGAGGCCTTTCGAGGCCCTCCCTGGGGCCCTGACCGCCTGCCGTGCTTCGCGGTGTCTCTGGGCAGACAGGGCAGGGAGAAGTGCAGCCGCATCTGCCGGAGCCTCCTGCCACACCAGAAAGCAGCTGCTCGGGGGCGAGCACCAGATTTGTATTTTAAACACGTGAGGCTTACTATGTTGAGGTTATTTTTAGAATTATAGAGAACAAAACAAAGCAAAACACCCATAATTTCCTCACCTAGCCCCTCTACGTGGCATGAAAAAGAATCATAAATGATGACATCTACAAGGCTTGGAAACCACGAGCGTCACAGGGAGGGAGGCCCTAATTCTCCCTGCCCTGTTCCGGGGGCACTCTCCCCGGACTCTTGTGACAGTTCTTTTTATTCCCTCCAGAAGAAAAGATCCTGATGTGTTTCTATGTAAAATTATTTCTACGGTTTTACACAAAAGCCTGCATGTGGTAGACGCTGTTTTGCTCCCTGATTTTCCACAGAGCGCGTCCTGGAGACCTTTCCGTCTGGCTTGTCTGCCTCATTGTTAACAGCCGTGTAGTAGTCCGTGGTGTGGGCTTCCTGGGTCTCGTTCACAGGCGGTGAGAGTAAACGCATTCCTTCTCTAAAAGACGCGGTCAGCTTTGTGCAGCACCTGGGGTGCTTGTCCCTGCCCTGAGGAGTCCCCAGTCAGTCCTGGGGACCCGAGAGGAGGGGTTGGCCAGGTGGGGAAGGGGCTGTGCCTGCCTCTTAAGCCCCTCGTGGTGGGGGTGTCCCCACCCTCCCCACTTCTCCCTGTGACGCTGGTGCTCTGCAGCCCCAGGAGGAGTGCTGGTTGGTCTGAGTGGCGGCGGGGATGCTGCTCCCCTCTGGCGATTACTTAGGCCAGGGAGGCACGAGGGATTCTGCCAGGGCTTCTGGGGAGTGTTGCCTACGTAGGGGGACGTCCTCCTGCATGGGAAATCTGCACAGAAGCCCTGAGGGAGCCACCGGGATCCCACGTGCTGAGCGTGGCGGAGCAGGAGAGTGGAAAGAACCAAGTTCCCAAGGATGTCCCCACCAGGGCTCCCCACCACCCACCTGCCTAGGGACCCCTGCCCAAGAAGAGGAAGTGTCTTCATGGTGCGCCAAGGAGCCGAGGCTTGCTGGGTTTGCTGCTCAGTACATAGGGGGCCTCAGCTTTGCAGTCCTGCAGCGCTTGCACTCTCCCTGCAGAGGGAAGGACTGAGCCAGTGAGGAAGAGGTGACAGAGGCCTTGGCGGGGGGGCATTGCAGGGAGCCCCCAGGAGGAGCAGCCTGAACTTCGTCCTGGAAGGGGCACACCCCTGCGCTGAGCTCAGCACTGAGCCTAAGCTGGGAGGCTGCCCAGGGCCCGCCCTGTGCCAGGGTGTGCACCCCCGCCAGGGTGAACAGTGCTGCCAGGGCAGTGCAGCCTCCACCAGGCCCAGATGGCTCCAGGTGGCTGGGCCCCTCCTTCCCCTCCCCAAGCCCAGAATATCGGCTTTAATTTCCAGTGTGAGGGAGGCTCAGGGCAGTAGCCACAGTGTCCTGGTTCTGCGGTCAGTGCTCCTGGACACCAGGCCTGGCTCCAGAGCTGCAGTCCTGGAGGCAGCGGGTGGCCCTGGGGAAAATGGGCTCCCCTGCGACGGGACTGGCAGTTTACAGTAACAAGCCCCAAGGATATTCTCAGAGCGGCTTCCCGGGGACGGTGCCGGGGAGGCCTCAGGAGGTGGTGTTGTGTGACTTCTGCTCTCCTGGGTGGGGTCCTGCCAGGCCAAGAGCTGCGCTGAGTGGGGTCACCATGCCCTGTGGACCCCTTCACCCAGCATAACCCTCTGGCGGAAATGGCCTTTGGTGGGCCGTGTCACCTGGGCCCAACCACCAGTTCAGGTACTGCTTCCTGCTGGCCCCCAGCACCACTGCACCCCGCCCACAGGTCACACTGTGACACTGGGTGTCATGATGGCATGTCTGGGTGTAGGTGGTCAGATGAGGCCTGGCAAGGGCTGACCACTGCAGCTGGGCTGTGGCCTGCCCCGAGGACTCACTGACACCTGCTCTAAGCTTCAGCATCTCACCTGGACAAGTGGGATCTAGAGAATGCCTCACAGGTAGGTATGAGGGGAACCCAGCCTGGAGCACAGTGTTCCCACATCGCATGTCACTAGTGCTGGGTGTGGCGTGGCTCCCTGGCTGGAAGGCAGCCTCTGCCCCAGCAGGGCCCGTCTGAAGTCTTACATCCTCCCAGGTGCTCAGAGGACCCTGTGGGTGCAGTGGATACCTGCCTAGGCAGTACCTCCCCCTTCCCAGAGCCCGCTAGCCTGTCTGCTGCAGGGGAGGTACACCTAGGGGGAGCAGACTGGTCTTGGGTGTTAACCACGGAGACCACAGTGCCCTGGGGCTGGCTCTGGGCACTTGGACATGATGACAGCATGGCAAAGCCCAGCGGTTTGGCAGGACAGGCTACCCGGGGGAGGGGCTGAGGGGCTTCTCTCATCCTGGGGTGACCACCCACTGGGGGTCACTATCCAGGGCCACAACTGCTACAGAGCAAGGCCCAGGTCCTGAGCAGGAGAACTGTGTTGGGGAGAGCCCAGGGTGGGGGCCCAGACCTCTCCGTTAACTTTCCTTCCACCTCATTTCTGGGAGGCACTTCCCTGCAGTTGTTTGTGCTCAGAAAACTGTTGTGGACCTCTTTGCTGTGGGGAAAGATGAAAGTACAAGAAAGTATAGTCACGTGTCACTGAATGACAGGGATATGTTCTGAGAAACGTGTTGGTAGGCGATTTTGTCGTGTGTGAACATCAGGGGCACTAACACAAATCTGTAGCGTGTTGCTCCTGGGCTGCGCGCCTGCAGCGTGCTGCTTGCTGTAACGCAGTGTAGTGTCCGTGGACCTAAACGTTTCTAAACATAGAAAAGATGCAGTAAAGACACGGTGTGGAAGGTAGAAAGGGCACAGCCGTGCAGGGCGTAATGCAGAGCCTGCAGGAGTGGAAGCCGCTCTGGGCGAGTCAGTGAGTGGGGAGTGTATGTGCGGCCCAGAGCATCACGATACTGTGGACGTTATGGACACTGCACACAGGAAGAGCATTCTCGAAAAGTCCCAGCAACTCCTCACCAGTCGGTTCCTCAGGAGCCACCTCCAGGAGCGCCTGTGATGCTCCTGCACACCCAGGTTAGGGTTCGGGTTTGCCACCTCAACCCCAGCCTTGTTGACTTTTGCAGCCTCCTCGCATTTGGCAAATTCTCTTCATGCATGAGCCTCGTACACTTTTTGGCAACACCACCCCAAGCCAAACAAGTGTGATGCAGTCGTAGATGCTGTGATCTTCCCAGAATTGTAGCAGCGTCTTCTCAGTGTCTTGCACGGTTGCAGCAGCAGCCCGGGTGAGGTCCTCAGGTCACAGGCTTTGAAAACTGCTGTAACTCCTTGGTCCGTTGGTTGGGTTGAAGGTGATGTTTGGAAGGAGAAACGCCCATTCAATAGTGGGATAAAAGTCCCCAACAGAAGGGTGTGCGAGAGCACTGTCCTCAGCAAGCAGAATCCTGAGGGTGTGCGATTCACGTAGCAGTCAGGAGGGCGTTGGGGAGAGGGGCTGGGTCAGCCATGGCTCCTGCTGCTCCTGCAGCCCACCGGCCCTGGGTGCTCACTGCCAGACCACCAGGGGCTTCCACCTGTAGCTGCAGCACTGCCCCAAGCAGGACGGCGATCCTGTCCTCGAGAGCCTTGAAACCTGGCACTGACTTGGCTTCCTTGTGGGTGGAAGTCCTTCCAGGCATTGTTTCCGGGACAGGGAGGTTTCATCCGCATTGAAGATTTGCCCTGGCAGCAATTTTCCTCCACAGCCAGCTAATCTAGAGTTTCCAAAGCTGCTTCAGCTGCCTTCACGTCAGCCGTTGCAGACTCACGGCTCGCTTTCTGGTTGCATGATGAATAACAATTCTGGAGTCATTAAGCCACCAGGACTGACAGTAAGTGCAGCATCGTAGCTGGGTTCAGCCTTTTCTTTCAACAGCCTTTTTGCTTTGGCCGTGATTGTCACAGTGCCCGGAGGGATGTGCTTCTGTGCCTGGTCTTCAATCCCCGTGGTAGAAGTTTCCCCATGTCTCATAAAGTCCGTTCTTGAATTTTTGTTAGTGTCATTGCCTTCATCGACTCAGAGCCTTTACCAGCTCGGACGCTTTGTCCCTGCTCAGGATCGTGGCTGTCGGGGGTGGGGCTGTGCCTGCCTGGGAGCAGCAGCTGCCACTGGTCCCCATCATGGTCCTGAGCCAACCTTGATTTCTGGTTCAGGTCAGTCACCGGACAGGGCCCTTACTGGCAATGTTAGCTGTGGATTTTGTACGCCTGGGGCCGTGAAGAGCAGAACAACTTGGGACTAAGACACGCACAAGAGAAATGGTGCAATCAGGAGACACAGTGGCTATGAGACGAGGCTGGCAGACGGGGGTGCTGCCGGCGGGGCATGGCCTGCTGCTCGCAGGGACCTCGTTTGTTGTAAGGAGAAGGATGACACTCTAAAATAATGATAAAAAGTATAAGATGGTAAATAAACCAGTAACAGTTGTTTACGGTCACTGTCAAGTATGCACCGTGCACAATTGCACATGCTGTGCGTTTACACGACTGGCAGCACAGGTTGGTGTACACCAGCCTCACCACAAACACGGGAGTCACACGTCGCACTTCGATGTTAGGACGGCTGCGACGTCACTAGGCAATAGGAGTTTTTCAGCTCCATTGTGATCTTATGGGACTGCTGTCATCTATGCGGTCCGTCATCGACTGAAACGTCATTACACGTTACACGACTGTACATTAAAAATGTCCAAGGAAATGGCTGCCATGACTGGATCGACCTAACTGGTCCTACCTCTGAGGAGCCCTCAGTCCCGGGGGAGGCAGAACTTTTGGAAGCCCCTGGACTGGGGGAACCCAGGTCAGGGCTAGGGAGAGTCTCGCTGTGCCCCGTCAGCCCCTCACAGCCCCTGCACTTGACAGTTTGTGTCCTTGTCATAGTTAGAGCTCATGCCCATGGATGTCAGTGAGTTGGTGCCACAGAGAAGCAAACTGAGCCTCAGAGAGGTTAAGGGACTTGCCCAGAATCACACAGCAACTGCCAGAGCCAGGATTTACACGCTGGACTGCCACCTCCCAGCAGGGCTCTTAGCTGTGAGGCCATGGCCATGGCTTGGGTTTAATGTGGGGGCCATGCCTTTGTTTTACAGCCTCCAGTTATGGCACCAGGTGCTCATTTCCCATTGT